TCAGTGTACTTACTGTGTGAACGCAACAAAGAACTTTCAGTGGTAACATCACCTTTGCTTTGGGGTCCTGGGCAATCTTACCACATTACAATGTCACTATCCTGATATCCCTTAATGAGAAATGGTCAGACTAAGAAAGGGTTCTGTTCTCATCTACGAAATTCCAGCATATTTATAATGAAAAGCAAATGTGTTTGCTTTGAACAAAATATTTTCCATACTTTCTAACTTCCTTTTGTACCTGAGAATGTTTTTAATTTTGAAGAAATAAATGATGAACACTAAGCAGGTCTGCCTGTTCACATGTTCTCCCAACCTAAGCTCAGTGATCTTATTAACTGATTAACTGATTCATTCATTCAACCAATACTCAATGAACACCCAAGAGATCTTCACCAGCAGCAGTGAAATGTAAAGACTTATGGGGCAAAATGTATCTGTCACATTTCACAAGGAGTAAATAAGATAATCACCCTTGAATATACACTAGTCGTTTCTGGCACACAATAAGCCCTAACAGGTGTTAACTTTTAATGTCATTATAATCAATACTAAGACTAGTCTCTATACAAATGAACTGGATAATCAATCTGAAATGTTTGATTATATGTGAGAACATGCATTGCCAAAATTAACATAATGAACAGTAAAAAGAACCTGAAAGGGATAATAATTGACTTAACATTATCAAGTCACAACCTTGATAACCAACCAGGTACAGTTGATTTCTTGGCTAGTCATATCAAATTTTTTAAGGACCAGAAAATTCCTGTGCCATTTAATCTGTTCCACACAATAAATAGCAATGAAAACCACCCCCTAATTTATTATTTCATGAACCTAGTGTAATGCTGATACCTAAACTCCACAAATAAATTTACAAATGTAAACATTTTGTAACAAACTACCAACAAATTGAACTCATCACTCTATTAACATATGGAAATACACTCATCAAACACTTTATTCCAGGAAGCCAAAACTGGTTTGATATTAGGAAATGTGTTCATGAGATTGATGGAGTAAGTGGGTCAAAAGAGAAATACACCTGAAAGTCACCTGAAAGATGTGGAAAAGACTATTTGATAAATCTCAATATCTATCCACATTTTAACAACTAATCTAGAAAATAGATACAGGAGGGTATTTTTCACTTTCATTATAAAAACCACCAAGATCAAATCTCATGGTAACACACTATCATATATGTAGGTATTCCTATAATGTGAGGAATAAGGCACCACTCTCACACCACTACTTAACATTGTCCTGGGAGGTATAGCAAATGCACTGAAACCAAAGGTATAAATATTGAGAGAAGAAATTATCTCTAACAGAAAACTATACAGGCTAGAACACAGCACACAAAGTATAAATTTTTGGTATTAAAAACATACTATTGAATTATATACTTAAAAATAGTTAAAATGGTAAATTTTATGTTTTTATAATCACATTAAAAAACATTATGCGCATACATGAATATAACAAAAATGGTGCTTATCCCTATGGCAAGGGATAAGTTTAGATTATCTGCATTTTTCACATGGACCTATATTATGGCCTACACTATATTGAAAATTATCTTTTAAAAAGAACTTAAAAACATAACCCTTAGAATGTATATGTAAGCAATATTATATCAAATTGAAAAAGACAAACATATAAGAAAGCAAGATAACATAAACACAGAACTGCTAACGAGAAAGACTGCATACCAGATTGAAAGACTCAAACACTTTAAGTCCCTAGCCAAGATGACTTCATAAGTGAACTATTTCACAACTTTCAAAGATAATTATCACATTCTATAGAAATTTCTCTACAGTAACACTGTCCAACATGGTAGCCACATGTAATTACTAATGTTACCGGATTCCAAACTATTTAAATCTAATAACCACATCTGGTTGGTGGCTGCCAATGGACAGTGCAGCTCTAGAAGGTGGAAAAGATGGACGGTTCTCATTTTAGAATGATCACGATACCAAGAAAATGGCAAATTTTACTTATGATACAAGACAAATCTGGATCACGTAATAGCAAATCAAATCTAACAGTGTATGAAGAGACAACGCAAGGTCAAGGGCTGTCCCGTTGCCCGGGAACCCAAGGATATCTTAATATTACCAGGAGATAATGAAATATAATTCAGGACATGAATTATAACAAGGAGAAAAGCTCTATAACTTTGTCTTCAAATGATGAGACTGCATCAATAAAATTCAGTATCTATTCCTCAATTAAAAAAAAATACTTTTCTAGCATAAATAAGCAATATGAATCAATAGGCATCAGCAAACCTGAAACTAAAACACTAGGGATATTTTCATTAAATCTGGTTCAGGAAGAAATCAGACAGAACAGCAGCTAAAACTATTATTACCAACCATATTTTTATAGGCAATATAACAATAAAAAGAAATAAGACATAACTATTAGGAAACAGGAGAATAAAAATCATTATCATCTGTAAAGGAAAAATTATTAAAATCAGTTGAAACTAAGTTAATGTTAAGAAGCGACCAGTAAGGCTGCTAGTTATTTACTGGTTAAAATAGATTCTTCCCCAGTGGAAATGTTGATAATAAAGTACATTTAAAAGAAATTCACTAGTAAGTGAATTTAAAGTCTTACAAAAGTACCACAAAGACGTAAGAATCACAAACTTGCAATTTCCCTTGAAATAAATCAAATCAAATCTGCTCATAAAACCCTTCAAAGGCTTCTGACTCCTCAGTTACCCCAAATGACTACGGAACCTCTCTCTCTCTCTCTCTCTCTCTCATTCAAACCACACTGGCTTGCTATCATCCCAGCAACCAAGCACGGCAGAACTAAAACCAGTTCAGAAAAAGACTAAGTAATATTTATTATTTTCCTCATGTTGTAAAAAGAGGACTATCATATTTCCTCTTAGAATATGCCCCTAAAATTTTAAAGATTTAACCATATGGAAGAGATCTGAAAAGTGTCTAAGAAAAGGCTAAAGATTTGGAATCCTAACTCAATTTCCCCTCACATCTTAACAGAAGCCTGTAACAAACATTCACTTTTAGAAATACGATCGGGAATTGAACAAAAGGCTATTGTGTGTTAAACATGTGAGGTCTCTCTGGTTTCATCTATACCAACTTTTCAAACATCACGTTGGAATTAAATCAACTATTAATCAACTATTTCCAGACCACAAAATCTATTCCACATTTATCAGTCATGTATAAGTTCTCCAAGTGAGTTAGTTATAGCTGAGTTCAAAAGTGAAATCCGCCATTTTTTTAAGTGCCAATAAAAGAATTTCCTTTAGACTTTGTAAACACTCACTTGTTCAAGAACGTCATATAATGTTTTCATTTCCTCTTGCAACAAAAATTTTCATCTGCATTTGATAAATCCGACTCTGTATCATTTCTGACGAAAAGCATATGGGTATCAGTCACATCACTCTACTGTTTTCCTACTAAATAGGAATTATAACTTTCTCTCTAAGTTAACAAGAGTAAAGAAGATGAAATTTACAGGCCTGCCCTGATCACTATAAACACCGCTATGTTTTAATCTGTATTCTGTGTCCAATGGTGGGCCTGCTAAAGCATAAAAGGAAACGACAGATTATCTATGATTAGTGGTGTGGCTGTTTAAAATGTTTCCACAAAGTCTTTGACACGTCTCCAATCCAAAGGTGGAGTTAGTTCCCTCCCCTTGGATATGGGCCACTCTTAGTGACTCACTTCTATTATGTTACAGAGAATGTGGTGGCAGAAGTGCGGCTGAAGGCTTTGGAGGCTGGCTGTCCAGCTGCAGAACCCCACCACCATGCTGTGAGGAAGCCAGGCAGCCGTACGGAGAGGACACACACTCCAGCCCCAGTCCCACGCCCACCCAAGGTCCCGGCAGACAACCAGCATCAGCCTCCAAACATGGGGCGGAAAAAAGCCCTCGTGTAATTCTAGTGCCTAGGCTTTGAGCACCTCAGCTGACACCATATGGAGCAGAGACAAGTGGTCCCACCACATCACGCCCCAAGGCGGATCCATGAGAAAATACAAGCTGTTGGTGCTCAGCCACTAGGCTTTGGGTGGTTTATTACGCAGCAACAGGTAACTGGAACAAGGAGATTAATTCAACCAAATTCATTTCAACTCCCATCTTATGCTTCTCATTTCAATTGCCCCCTCTACCCCCGCAAGAAGACAAACCTGTTTTAACTTGAAAAACCAAAAAACGACTAAACTGTGCTGACATACCTGGTCTCAGGCAACTCAGTGGAGCCCCCTGATGGCTAGAGTCCCAGCACCCATCATGCCCTTCGCTGCCAACCGGCTGCTCTTCGGCTGTTTGCTTTTTACTAACAACCCAGAATCCTTGGCCTTCCCATCCTGCCTTAAGCTTACTCCCAGCTTTGAGAAGTTGCTTTCGTGAAATACCTGGCTCATGAAACCGCTCCTACTGCAACGTATGCTCCAGTTTTTAAATCAGTGAACAAGTGAAATGTGCCTGACAAGGTAATTCTGATGCTAAGGCTGGTAACTAGTTCAAGATGTTCTGATGGAGCCCTTCAAATGGGTCATCGACCCAACCAGGTAACCACATCAAAGATGTACTATTCCGTCTAATGAACACAAGGAGGGGAAATTTCCTAATTACTGAAATAAAGTTTTTCTCCAAGGAACACAAGCCTGAATACCTTCCAATGACTTAGTCATCCAGACTGACTTCTACGTGAGCAGGAGATCTTCTCACCCCCAAACCAAAGGAACCCCAGCTTAGGGTAGAGCGTTCACAGATGACTTGAGCAGTAAATTTTTTTTTAATAGAACTACCACAATTCACAGCAAGTTATGGATCTACGTGCGAGTTACTCAAATGCACTACGTTGAAGTCTAAGGACAGCAGAAAAAAAAGAACCAAACAAAAAAAAAGATCCTAGCCCTTTCCTTCAAAGACTTCAGTGAGTTGGGACATGTAGGTGACATGTCAGACACACAACACAGCCCTACCTAGCACGTTTCCGGGGGGTACCTCCTCTAGGTCTTCCAGCTCCCTTCCCATCAAGAGGTACAGCTGTTCCAGGGAGCAGCACGCCAGGTGGGGGACGGGGGGTAGGTCCTCTAGTGGAGCCGAGAAGCCCAATGGCACCTGAGCACAGAGAAAAATGATTGAAGGTAAGTTGGGAGGCATTAAAGAAAAACATTAGAATAATGTCATAATGTTATTTATATTCATAAGATATGGTACTGTCACATTTCTTATAAACCTGAAACATGCAAATTTGAAATGGTGTTATATAAAAATAAGTCTTGCTTTACGAATAAAATCTGAAATAGTGAAACTTCTCAAATATTTAAAAATTGTCAAGAGTCCCACACAAGCGCAAGCTTTATGGCTAAGTAACAAATTCTGCTGTGACCTGGCAGCACCCCATAAGCTAATAAAGTCCCTGTAGCCCCTCGCTAGTACTTATGTGAACCATGTCACATACCAGTTCAGGTGACGGCTGCACTATTATTTCAACACTCATTATTACTATCACCACTTAAAACTGGTTTAAAATTAAAACTGTTTTAATCTCATTATAAAGTCATACAAGCATTCAATAGGGCTGGTGCTACTGCTGAGTAACATGCGAATGGGTAACTCTGGGAAAGTGTTCAATGTAAATTATGCGACAAGGACAACAGGTTTATGCTTGTGGAGAGATCATCTCGAATTATTCAAGTTCTATTAAGAATGATTCAGTATCTTGAAAAGTAGTCAAGATACTGTCTTGAATTATTCAGTGACCTCCATATAAACGCTAGTGGCTGGAAAGCATCTCGATCAGCACCTATCTTTGGTACCACAGGCCCAGGGCACTGTGCTACTGCTATGAAGAAGACAACGACCACACAAACATAAAGTGAGTGACACAAAGGGTGATACAGGCAAGTAAATTCACGAAAGCTCAGAGGAGAGAGAAGCTATGATGCCAGGTTACACGCAGAAATGTCATGAAAATGGCGGCCTTCCAGGCATAGGGTACATTTAAATGTACGTGTTCTGCAGGGTAGCTCTAGAGACAGGTTGGAAAGAAATAAAAAAATAGAAAGAAATGGAATTATCCAAAGATAATAATGATCAGCCACTTAAAACAAAGTATAAATTATAATTAGTAAGACAGTTTAGCTAGGTGGCCAGACACAAGCCGAATATACAAAAGTTAACTGTATGTCTATAGATCAGCAATAGAAAATAAATATATTTTAAAACAGCAACTTTTAGAATAGCAACAAAATAAAAGACAGGTAAGAGTAAGTCTAACAAGTGATTAACTATTTTATGAAAAAATTGTAAAACTTCAATGGAAAACATTTAAAATAAGAAATGGATAGATATACCCAAAACATTCATGGATAGTAAGATGCTGTATTGCCAAATGCCAAATGCACGTACTGATTTAAAGCGATACCAATCAGTCTCCATGGAGCTTTTCATGGAGCCTGACAATTAAGTTCTTTCTTGCTGCTTCTTGCTGACCCTGACTGGATGCGTGGACCTTGGCATCTTCCTACGACCTTCTTTATTTAATTACTATGTATACACCTTGCTTATGTCCAAAAATGTTCTGAGACAGCTGCAGCCTGTGGCTTCCATTTTGCCCTTTGGCTCAAGTGTATTTAGATGTTGGCTGTTCACCTGCTGACAGAACCTTCCAATCAATTTCTGGGATCTGCCTGCCATGTGACTGTTGCCTGTCACCTGCTCACTGCCACACCTTTGGCCAGCGACACCAAGTTTTCGGATCTCCCTGTTTCTGAAAGATCTGCCATTGTCCTGGCTCCAGCATGACATCTGCTGTGACCAGTTCTTTCCTCCAGCCTTGAACAGAAAAGCCTTATAATTAATTAAGGCCTGAAAACTTGGCTGAGTTTCCTAAAGGCTACTCAGTGAGACAGGTTTACCAAATGTTACCAAAGAAACGCAAGACGAGATATAATGGATTCAGCCGAATGTGCCTGTCTAGAGACACAATGAATCTACCAATACGGTAATCACCAACCTCAACTTGAAAGATATCCAAACCTTGAAACAATCGGCTAATGTTTTATTTCCAATTCTTACCCGCTGCAGAAACTCAACAGGACTATATTTGGGCCCCAAGACAAAAATTTTCTTTCCTCTTCGAGCCACACCACTGAACACCCGAGCAAACGCAATAAAAGTCTCTTGGTTGTTTCCTTCCTGAGGCACGGGTTTAGGGGTCATACTCGCCACCTGTAGCTCATCACCTGCCAGAAACAAAAAGATAATAAATGCCAAGAATGTGCTCTCCGCTCTCCAGTCTGGGAACTGCCTGGAAACAAAGGGAACAGTGAATATGATATATATTTGGCTCAGTCTCAGAAAAGAAACATCAAGAATGAAGGAATACTGACGAAAGCTACAATTAAAGCTGGAAGCTCACGAGCTAAAGAATGAGTGTCCCAAGTGAAGTAAAAAATATTTTGTACCGAAGCCTGCTATTCAGGGAAGCTGTACCTTTTGGGTCTTCTGCCTCTGGGCTTGTTTCCAGGGCATGCCCATCTGCAGTGGGGTCCACGGGTGCCAGGCCCTGGGCTGCCGCAAGCTTCTCTGCGTGCCTTTGTCTGGCCCGCTCACGCCTCTGAGCCATTTCTTCCTGAGTGAGAGGCCTACAGGGTATCACAAATATGATCACATCTGGCAACATCAAGCATCTCTCAGTCGCTCACGCAGGGAAACAGCGAGGGGTAATGTGGCTGAGTAAGAGGACGACCGGTCCCAGGTCCCTTCCAAGCAGAGGGTTTCTCTAAGCTTTCTCTTTGGCCGCAGCAATAGGAGAGAAGGCCTCTCAGGCTTTCTCTGAGAATTGTGTCCCTAGCTATTCTGAGCTTATGAACTGACATGCAGGAGCCCATGTCCCCTCACAGAGCTGCACACAATAGCATGGACCCTTCTCAGATGTCCGTCCTCCCAATGCACCCCCACCAAACAAACCCCATTTCCCCGGCCCAGCCCAGAATTCCCCCTTAGGCTTACCTTGGCTTATTCTGAGGCAAAGCCTTAGCATCAACTGCAAACATTTTGGAAACAAAGATAATAACTGGAGCAGTATCTTCACTTCCACATTTCATAAAAGCTAAACAAAGAGGAAATAAAAATGTTACTATTTTCCCTCAGTATTAAAAACCCAGATTTTTTCTAGAAAAGTTACGACGTTTAGTTGTGCCATCACCCAAATATGTAAGCAACCTATAACCTTTTACAACTACAATAAAAAATTCCACTTAGAAAAGCATAAAACTACAAAAAAGAATAGTTAATCAAGAACAAGCAGAATTGGCAGAAACGAGAAAAGAAAAGCACAATTAACAGGATGGGAGAAGGGCTGCGGCAACTCCTACACAGAGTGAAGCTAGAAAAGGGGTTAACCACCCACCACAGCCCTAATACATTTGTCCCTCTACCCCATGGAAGAGAGAGAATTTTACCAAAGGTCAATGGTCAACAAAGTACCTTGTTAACAAAATACATAAAAATCAATAGCTTTTCCAATCCTCACAATAAGTTTAGAAAATAAAATGGACAAAAATATCTTGTCATGACAGTAATGAAAAAAATCTTATTAATAGAAGTAAATTAAGATCCATTGTAAAGATGTCAATTTTCCCAAAATCTATATATTTTATACAATTTCATAGCAACATACTGACATTTTTCTTAACCTACATTGTAGGTATAAAAGTATTGGTTAGTACTTTTTTTAAAATGCTCCACATCAAAATAACCTGTAGTTAAGTTAAAGACTCCACCAGTGAAATCTGAAGATGAAGAAAAGTTCCAAAGGCAGAATTAAACATGTGTCAGAAGTCTCGCCTGGGAAAGGTTCTGAGGAACGGAGTGACATGCCCGACCTTACATTTTAACAGGATCAGTCTCGCTGCAAGGCTGACAAACACTAAAGGAAATTGGGACACCAGTTGGAAAGCTATTATAATAACCAGGCAAGAATTCATGGCTGCTTGGCCCAGGGAGGCAGAAGTGCAAACGTTGGGAATTAGTTGAACTCTGGATATATTTCAATGGAAGAATAAACAGGATTTGCATGATGGATTGGATGCAGGGCTGTGAGATGAAATATAAGAGCCATGGATGACTGAGGCTTTTGGATGGAGCCAATGAAAGAATAAGAATGGGGGTGCTGGGCCGGCCGAGTGGCTCAGTTGGTTAAGAGCTCGCTCAAGAGTTTGAGCTCTGAGCAACAGCGGTTCGAGTCCAGCCCGAGCTGAGCAGCCGTTGAGCTGCCAACAGGTAGCAGGATGGCTCAGCTAAAAAAAAAAAAAAAAAAAAAAAAAAAAGAATGGGGGTGCCTACAGCTGAGATGGGAGTAACCAGGAGGAATAGGCCTGGGCATGAGATAGGTTAAGTCTGCAGTGCTTCTCAGCCAAGTGGAGAGAGGGAGTGTGCAGCTGGGCCTGAGTGTGGAGTCCAGGGAACAGGTCTGCCCTGGAGGTCCAGTTGTGGGAACTATGAACATCTCGTTGTCATGTAGCGCCTTGAGACTGGATAAGTGCACCAGGAGAGTGAATGCACGCAGAAAACAGGTAAGGTCCAAATACTGCGCCTTGTTTGGAGGCGTCCCACAGCTAACAAGTCACAGAGATGGAGAGGAACCAAAAAAAGAGATTAGGAATAAGTAGCCAGAGAGACAGGGAGAAAAGCAGAAGCATGTGGAAGGAAGCCTGAAGGTCAAGGGAAGAAAGTGTCTCAAGGAGGAAGGACTGACCGACTGTATCCAATGCTGGTGACAGATCTAGTCAGGTAACTTAACAAAGGAGAGTCGACAGTGGCCCCCAGAACAGCAGCAGAGTGGTTTTGGGGGTGCAGGTTGCAAATTCAATAGAATGGGAGGAAAAGTGGAGACAGTGTACATGCAGATGAATTTCAAGGAGTCATACAGAGCCTAGAGTGGCCCTCTCGAGGGGAGTGTATGTACAAGTCTTCTCCAGTCCCTAGGGATGCAGCCACGGCAGTGACCTGGCGATTGAGGAGGATGGAACACAGAATCACTATGAGATTATGAAATGAGATCAGTGCAGAATGAAAGAGTCTCTGGTCTCTCACAACACAGGTGGAGAAAATGGCTATAACAAACAAAACAAAACTTTGACAAAAAACAAAACAAAACAACAACTGGTGAAACGGTCATTTGTGAAACTGTAGAGTTGGTGACTTGGCCAACTGCCATCTGGCCAACTGGTCTAGAGCAGCTGTGACTCAGGCCGGTCAAAATGAGGGTGCATGCTATGTTCCTCTTTACCTCACCTGCTTTCAGTGCCTGGGTTTCCAGAGGAAGGGAGTCAAACGCTTGTGATCCCGTGCACATCAGTTTCTCCACTCTCTCGGCAGAAATATCAAGAGGACTAGGAAGCTTCTGACACACCATAGCTGGTCTGTTGTTAAGGACTCAAAACCTTGAGCGAGGACCCTCTACCTCTATCAAGGCACAGACTCACAGTACGCACTCAGTACTGAGGTACAAATGCATGTCTCTACAGAAAACGCCCGGGCTCCATTACTGTATGCATCCTACCCAAAAAAACAGATACACTTTCAGGGGGTTCACAGACTTTCTAAAGCCCAGAAAGGATTCCTATGATATTCGAATACACTGATAGTCCATAAAACAAGTGAGGACAACAGAGCTTAGTAGCTTAGCTACCTGTGACCTTGAAATTCTAAAAAGTTTTCATGTGGTTTCAGCCTGTGTAAACTTTTATGAAACAACCATTAGCCGCTAGCTATGCTACAAGACAGTCACTGACCAGAGACAGTGTTACTGTAGGGGTGTCACTATCCATCACAGCTCTGGGCTGAGAGGCCATGGCTGGTCCACTCCCAGAACACTGCACCACCAGCCCACCACATGGTTACATGCAGATCAATAAAATAAAGATATAATAGCTTAAACTCATGTACAAAGTTACTTCAGTTAATGTAAACCGTTTAAAATCAAGTTTTTTGGAAATCACATGATGGGATATATTAACACACTCAAGACGATATGGTACTAATGAAACAGTAATCTAACACAAACATCTAAATTATCTACTTATATCTAAATCTGATTAAAATGCAGTTTCTACTTTGACAGATCGCTAAATAACCAGAGAAGACTGGAATGCATTATTTCCAGAGGATTTCCTGGTTGCCAATAACACATTCTTTTTTTCTTGTTTTGTCAAAACTATGATTTTATAAAAAAACATTAGAATAAAGGATACCAAGAATAGCCTGGGATATGGGTAGCCACTGACTGCAAATGGCATTGATCTGGACTTTAGGATCGGAATGTCGTGCCTCCCGTGCTCCAATTTTTATTCCTAAAGAAGTCACTATTTTATCAACTTTTTCTTTGTCCCTATAGTAAACATACAAGATTAGGGGTGGGGAGGTCACTCACAGATACGAAGGAACTCAACATAAACACATTTATTCCTAGTGTATTATTTTCTACAAAAAAAAAAAAAAACTGGAAATGACTGAAAGGGGCCCCTGGCACTGCATTAGAGGATGGCTCAATCTCTACCCTTTCAAATGGCCTTTCTGCCAAACCTCCCACTAAGCACCATCCCACAATCTCCTTAAGCAAGCTATATCAACTCTGAAGCAGTTTTACAAATAAATGCTAAACAAGCATTATTCCAACTCCTGAAAAACTTAGAAAGTAAACTTACTGAAACAAATTTTTTTTCCACTTGTATCAGGCAAGTTTTTTTTCCCCAAGTTTCCCATTAATGATCCTAGATTCAAGAACATTTTCTACTACAATTACTATTTTATTTTAAACTGGGTTTGCAAAAACCAAGGTCCAATGTTTCTGTCCATCCCTTTTCTATAAAATATTGCTGTTCTGGCCCCCTTGATACCCCTGACTTGGGTCCCACATCCTCCTTTAAATTGTCTCCACGCCCTGTGATCACCCATCTGGGAAAGCTTTCTTCACTTTCTGTGTACCTCTGCTTTCCCAAGTGAGACTCAGCACACTGGAAAATGAGGCAAACTATACCACTATACTACTGCCCAACGATCAACAGTTTCATAACAATCTTACTTTTTCAAGACGGCATCATACAAACTCCATATATTTTCCAGAATCAACTGTACAAATAACGGTTTCTTTCCTTTTGCCTGTAAGAAAGAATACATACGCTTAAGTTTCTGAGTATTTAATAGATAACCATAAATATTCATTCTTAACATGTTTTATTGTAAGCCTCATTTCTACTAGAAAATATTTATTCAACAGTAAATTGGAGGAAAGTAGTTCTGATAACCCGCTGTGCTCTTCGCCTGGGAACTATGGACTTCCCAAATGATGAAACCATTTGGGGGACATGTCACTGTGGCTGCTCCACCACTGGCATCAAAGAAACATACATGATGCCCAAAGTGAGGGCTAAAACTTCCCTCTGTACATGCAGGCCCTTCCATTGACTTTGTGTGCTCAACAATGTTCTGAGACATGAAAAATATTCAACTTCAGAGGATATTAAAAAAACAAAAACCCTACAATTTCTCTTAACAAACTACACACCTTAAGATGGGATCTCTCACACATACTCAAGATGGAATATAAACTGATACCTCCTTTCTGAAGAGCTATTGGCAAGGTATTAGGAAGTGAAGTCATTACCTTTGAATGATTGGTTTAAAGAAAATGCCATCACAAAGACATAAAAATATATGCACCAACATGCCCACCATAGAGTTACTTCTAATATCAAAACATTTGAAAAACAGAAATAAAAACTCCGCCCAATCTTAGGAGAATGATTACATGATGCATGCACAAAATAAAGTGACAGCAGGGTACTTATTATGTGACAGGACTGTTCTCAAGGCTCTTTCTGGAGTATTTCATACAACCATCATAACTACTGGATGAGGTAGGTACTACCCCCTGCATGTTGCAGACAAAAAACTGAGACACAAGTTACAGGCTGATAAGCGTTGAAGCCAAGATTCATAGTCGGATTCTCAAACTCTGCTCTCCTCACTTCGCCATCTGGCTTCCTTTTAAATATATTGTTCATAAAAAGCTTTTAATGGCAGGGGAAGAAGATGTTCACAGTGCTTTTTTACGACACAATGTCAAGCAAAAAAGTAGCTACGCTGTATAAACAGTGTAATTCCAACTGAGAAATTATGTATCTATCCAAAAAGAAGAAATCAAAACTATGGTATTAGCAGTATTGGGGTCTGATATTTTTCTTTCCTGTGCCTTTATAAGTACGTTCTAAAAGGAATATATATGCTCTTCAATGAGAATAAGTTCATAAAATCCTGAATTTGACATTAAAAAGAGAGCTTCAAGTAAAGTTATCATTCAGGCTATGTGACTCAACAGTCCTACACCTCCTCTATCTGCAGCGGCCAGGGTTCCAGGGCACACCTGCCTCTCCCCGTTACCACTCATGGTGACTGGTATTTGGTGACAGAAGGTCTCAATTGAGACTAGGAAGAGTGTGGGCCATACAGTGGTGTGTAAAAGAGATGTCTCTTTATGGTGAAGGGGACACAAATGCTTGATGCAAAATATGTGCCTTCAAGTAACCAGTTATCTGAGAGTTTTGCTCCTCTTTAAAAAAAAAAAAAAATTATTGTTCCCTATATTTAATGAACTCCATTTAAGAAATACTTGGATATGACTCATGAGCTTCAACCAAATACAGTTAAAAAAAATCCTTCACAAACTGACACCGAAGCCAAATCACATTCTAGTAAAGGTTTTCTTAGGGCAACAATGGAACCACATTCAAAAGGAACATATATGCACATTACCTGATCAACCTTCATAATCTTCTTAGCCTTCATGTTTATATAATAATCTCCCCACAGTGTTTTCAAAAGCACTTCCTTTTTGATGCCAATTTTCTGACTGTAGATTTTGGCAAAGTGCTCAATTCTGAGAGAAAAGTAAGTATTTATCTTATTAATAACAACAACAAAAAACTATGAGTATAGCTAACACTTGAGTGTTTCTGTGACACGTACTGTTCAAAGTACTTCAGATATATTACTAAATGCTTCAAGTATCCTATGAGGTAGGTACTAATAATTCCCCGTTGTACAGAAAATGATAAAGCAGCACAGATATTATTAATATATAGGTAATACATGAAGTTGGGATTCAAAGCCAAGCAGCCTGGCCCCAAAGCTCATGCTCTTGTTCAATTCTTTCTACATTCACATGAATTAGAATTCACGCTATAGCTCCCTTTCCTAATTCTGCATGTATGAAACGAGGAACAACAGCCAAGGAAACATAGGCTCCAGCTGCCCATCACAACTCTGCCAACAAGAACTGCTTCAACCATTCAGTTATAGGTGTCTCACGCTCAGACAGAAAACGAACTCCAGCCAGAGCCTGCTAAAAAGGGCTTTTTAGCATCCTTGATTCAATAGGAAACAAACACATAATTAATTAACTCCCCTCAGCCCTTTGAGAAACCAGTTAGCACCAGGTCTGTTCTCAGCCGCACAAGAGCAGTCACCTGACAAGGGTGCTAAATAGAGTGTCTGCATTGTCTGGATAGAGGACCTAGAAAAAGTCTTTTCTGCAGGGAACAGGATGTTTAACCAAAAAGGTCTGAGTCCAACTCTCAAAGTACCAGCATCTTAAACAATGCCTGGTTTTATCCATGGCAGAAGGAACCCAAAGTCAACACACATCCGTCAGCAACTGTGGTATTGCAGGAAGCCACCAGTTAATTACAACCCAGTCCAATTAGTCAATCTTCTCTGATGATACTGGAAGCCCGGTGGGAGGAGTGGAAGTTAATAATTATGGTTGGAACCAGAACTGTGAAGAGCATCAGGCAGTAGCTAGAAGCAAAAGCAGACACTACAGAAACTGCTGGAGATAAATATCCATGTCTCCTCTCACTGACGGCCAAGGGACAGGAGAATTCTCAATCAAGAATCAAAATTCAAACCATACAGTTACAGGCTGCTGACCTTCTGGAGCGGGGCTCAGGGTTCATTACTTTCGAAGTGATTCACTACGGTAAGCTTTATTTCCCATTTGATCCAACACTTACTTAGCAGAGGGGTTTTTTTTTAATTTTCTAAAAATCTACTTTTTATTTTTATTTTTTATATAAACAAATGATATAAATTATATACCACTTATATAACTTATATATAATTATAAGCTAAATATTTATTCTTGTTACTATATAAATTGATCATTGTTTTGTCTTTCTGAAGGACAGGACCTTCTTTTATCCAGGTTCTCACCTCATTCCACAGACCTACATTAACAGCTTCCCCAACAGGGAGGGATGAAAGGAGCACCCCACCCTCTCTCCCGCTTCCATCCACAAGTGAAGAGAGGACGTCAATGGCCGATACTCGTTGGGAAGCTCCTAGGCCCCAAAATGAAAGCAGGCTCTGTCTTGCTGCCTAGTCCAGGGGTCAGCAAAAATAAATCTCTATTCTTTCTTATGACTGTAGTGCATCTACAATTACCTCAAAACAGAAAGTTCGACGTAGAACATCACTGTGTGTGCAAAACCCAGAGACTTAAGCAGATGCACACAGACTCACCCAAAGCCCCACCCATCGATCGCACTTGTAAACACCACGTTCCCCTGGTCTGGAGAGAAGTAAAGATGAGAATCGTCTGTGTCCTCCAAGCCAGTGCTCCAGTCGTACACATGCTCTCCTGGGTCGGAGTGGGGGTCCCCCTGGGGCTCGTTCTCTCTCTCTGCTCTTTCTTCTAGGACTTTAGAAGTAAAAAGGGTTCCTGTGAGCGCATTAATCTAGGAGAGATGGTGAAATGGTAGCATGTCATTCAGAGGCTGAGCATGCAGTGGTCAGACACACTCTGCCTAGCCCTGGTTAAGGCCCGACTCATCCGGCAGGCAGTCTGGGCTCCTATTAAGCTAACACTCACAACAATCATTAACTTATATGTTATCAGCCCATTCTTTCTAAACCCAGCAAACCTCAATTGTAAGGCTTCCAAAAGGTCATTTTTGTGACTATTAGTTTAATGCTGACACGAATGTGTCAGGGCTTTAACTTGTTTCTCAGTACCGGGGCCTGGCATTGCTAGGAACTCACGGTCTGCAACCCCACAATCCTAGTTGGCAGCTGCAGTCAACGCCCTGGCCATGTCTCACACCTACCGTCTGAACCACTCTCTTCAGGCCCTGTCCCCAATCTCTAACTCCTAACTATTTTCACTCCCAAGTACATAACCTTATTTCCTACCTCAGAGAGAAAATGGAGCCCGTTACTGAGAAATCTGCCAGACTCCCCATATCCCAACCCATCAGCTCGTGCATATCTGCAAATCCCGCTGGGCCTTCGCCTTCCACTGGAGGGCAGGAGGGTCTCACCTGTGCCCATCCCTGTCCATCTCTATAGGAACGACACCCACTGATTCATTCTTTTTCACTACTTTCCCTTCATCGTTCCCTCCCTCCAACAAAATAAATATTCTCAAGTCGGTCTCATCAATGGTGCTCCACTATCCTGAAGAGAAAGTTCAAACCTCCAAGCCTGGCATACAAGGTTCACTGTATTCCTTTCTACTGTCCTACCTCTTGTCAACTCCTCACAGCTCTTCTCCGGCTTTTTACAATACTGAAGTAAAGGATAATACCTGTTCTAAAATATTCTTGAGATGAGAATAGGCCTCCTGTGGGGTGAATTTCAGTTCCACTATCAAGCGATCGATCTTATTAATCACTAAAACTGGACGGATGTTTTCAAGCCAGGCTTGTCGCAGAACTGCCTGTGTCTGGTTAAAACAGAAAGGAAAATATAAAACTCATGATTTGAAATAAAGCACATTAGAAAATCTTAATTAATAATCAGCTCATTTCTATATGCCTTTATCACAACTCAGGCTATGCCACTCAGACACAAGAAACTGTCTTTGCCTTTACCGAACTGACAAACACGTATGTTGCCACCACACAGGTCAAAAATGGGACATTCCCCCTGAATTCCCTGGGTATGCCTTCCTGAGCATAATCCCATCTCTCAGAGTTAACCACTATTCTGCTATTCCGAAGTCAGGTATGTTAATCTCACTTACCTTGTCAGGATACCTAAGGTATTACACAGACTAAGGATGTGCTTCTCAAGCTGAGGTACCTGTGCTCTTAAGGGAAATACGATAATTATGGCCCATCTTCTTAGAATTATCAACTTTCCTACATTTGAGTAATTTAAACCTTATATAAATTTTTTAAATAAAATATTATAGTTAAAACAAGCAAGGGTTTGTTAAGAAGTAGGGTACAAGATGACATTTTTAGGTTATAACATAAGATTTCAAGAAAAATTATTAGAAGAACTGAGTGTAGAGAGCCACTCCAAGCTCCACACCCATCGGAGCCAAATGTTCCCTCTGGCCTAGCGGTGGACCAGAGCGCTGGTGGACAAGATGAGAAACACGAGGTTAAGGGTATGGAGGAGCGGGAGAGCGAAGGAGGAAGGGAGGGTGTGTGTGTACCTGGGTGGAGGCACAAGTCTGTAAAGAGACGCCAACAAAGGAGGATTTCTCTCATCTGGGGGAGAACTAGCTCAGGATTTTGCTATCATCAACCTCTCATGGTTCAGAAACTTTTTCTGTTGGAGTAAAACCACTAGATCGTCCCCAAATTCAACATTTCTCCCACTTTTGCTAAGTTCCTCTACAGGTGCTGTCAGACACTTCAAAGTTTCTAAAGTTAAAGTCATCCTCTCTAAGGACCCTTGAGAACTTGGGTGACTTCACTCTGTCACCGGCTGGAACATTATGGAATGTGAAATGTAAAACCCACTTTCTGACCATCAGTGAAATGTCTAAAGTGGCACGCAGTAATCAAGAGTTAGTCCTACCTCTTTCCCCACCTTCTTCTGCCAGTTCAGCGTTCTCACATCACAACCCCTACCTGTGGACAGACTCCTTCCACGGCGTCCACCACGATGATGCAGCCATCGCAAATGCGCACGGCCGTCGATACTTCTGAGGAGAAATCCACGTGCCCTGGAGAGTCTATCAGATTAATCAGGTACTCCTCATCACCTGAAATGAAATGTGAGGACACACACTGTCAGTGGTACAGTCCTCCTCCTTGGGCGTTCCAGAATAAGAAAGCTTCTAAGAAATGACTGTCAAGCTAAAGGCAAAGCTCAGTCACAGCTGTCATTCCGACTAACGGATCCCCACCAATGGAACCACTGATTCCAAACAGCATCTATGAAACTGTTGAAAGGCGTTATGATTCTAACAGTTACCGCTTATTAAGAGCCTGCTGTGAACCAGGCACTGTGCTAAGCAAACCCTTTTAATGTGCTAATTGTGTTATTGAATCCCTGTAATAACCGTATTAGATAAATTATTACTGTCATTATTTTAAAGATGAAGAAGCTGAGACTAAAAGAAACCAATGCCCGAGAGAGAAAGCTGACCAAAGGGCGAAAACAGGAAATGCTAACTGAAAAGGACACGGAGCAGCGGGCCGGGTACTTTTCCCTGAACTTCTCAAAGAGAAGGTGGGAATCTGGTCAATCAAGGATGAGATTCAATTCTATGAAAACTTAAGGAGCAGTTACTATGTGCCAGGCAGTGCTATGTGCCCTCATATACATCATCTCCTTTAATCCTCACAACAAACAACAATATTAAGTTTGCAGCAGGTGACTGATTTGTCCTGCTGCAGCACTGGAAGTCCCACATCCCACTAACCCTCAGTCCCAGGCGAACCAGAACAACTGGCCAGCTCAAGGTACAGAGACCCACATTAAGCGTAAGTAAGTAAGCCATGCAGAAAAACCGTAGAATTCTACAATCATTTCCCATTTACTGCTAATTTGATGTAATTCTCTTATAAATGCAAATAATTATTTGAATGCTCAAACACCTGCATATATACTTCACTTTTGCTCCTCCTCTTAATTCACTGTTTCTCAACTTCTGTGGGCTTCAGAATGACCACGGGCTGAACATTATAACCTGTGGGCCATTGGAGGGTCTCCCCATTGTAACAACCTGGGGACTTGGTGATGCTGACACTGATAAAACCACCACAAAACCCAGGCCAGAGTGCACATCTGTGGATTGCCTATCTGTGCCTGGCACTGTTCTAAGCATCTTATAGACATTATCTAACGTCTACTCACAACAACAACCCTTTGCAGTAGTTACTACCATTAACCCAAAAAAGTAACTTTTTCAAGGACTTCCAGCTAGAACTCAACTCTGAGGTAAACTGCCTAAGACCAAACCATTCAAAATGGGCGAATGGGAGTGCAAACCCATCTAACTCCAAAGATACCTTTAACCACCACACTTAAGAAGAAATGGGGGCCAGCGGCTCAGTTTGGTTAAGAGCTCGCTCAAGAGCGTGAGCTCTGAGCAACAGCGGTTTGATTCCCGGTCCAAGCTGAGCTGCCGCTGAGCTCAGCTAAAAAATAAAAAGATGACATTTACTTCATCTCACAAGCTGAGATTCCACTGGTGATGACTTTCTGAACACTGGTTAAGGATTCCCAAGTGCAGTGGAGCCTTCAGAATAGCTTATTGATATGAGATTGCCACATTTATTCATCCCACGTTAATTCCTTAATTTTCAGAAAGGCTTCCCTTCTCACAGCTCTGGCAAACCCAAACCCCTATAAGCTACCAATGATCTCTGGTGAAACATAAAAATCCTGTTCAATTCCTAGAAGTTTAACTATCAAAATGACATCCTGATTTGGGGATAGCAGGCTGCAGTGATCATGGCAACCCACAGTTCAGTAAGTAAGACTCTAAATCCAATATGCGGACCACAGGACAGACCAAGGGTCAGCCAGGAAATAGGACATGAGGCTGAGCCAGCAAGGTGCTGACCTGCTGCAACAACTCCTGACCTGCCATGTGAACAAATTTATACATCACCTGGGTGGATGAGGGGGCAGGTGTGAGCTGCCAGTTCTCCTGTCCACAAGCCAGCCAGAGGGCCCCACCTGCAACCAAGTCTAGACCGCCTGACTCTGACAACAGATCACTCGGACAGGCCAGAATGCAATTTGTAGAACACAAAACAAAGACACTGATTTGCGATTAAAGACGCTTGATACATGCGATTCATGCAGGAAAGGAAAGAAAGATGTGGAAGATTCAAACTATTTCTCTTTCAAAGAGAGGCTGACTTACCGTCTGCATAGTGTAGTGAAATGGCACTGGATTTCATAGTGATGCCTCGGACCTGTTCATCTTCTCTGCTGTCCATGTACCGTAACTGTAAAAATGCAACACGCATCCTGACTGCCCAACGAATTAAATGGAACATTAAGATGGACTGATTTTGACTTTGTCTTAAATGTTTACATTTTAAACTAAAAAGCAGTTTTTTGGTTTTTTTTTTAAGGGTGGGAAACGCTAGAGAAGGAAGTTGTCGAAGTTGTCACGGGGAAGAGAACACAGACAAACTGAAAGACATTACCACTTTCCAAATGCATTCAAATACCACAAACCCTCCCCAGAGAGCAAGTCGTTCAAATTTCAGTCCTGAATGACTGGGTAGTCCACAAACAATTCCCAGAAGGTGGTATCTGGGGAAAACTCCTTTCTCATTGAGAACACAGCCATTCTTTTCCTGCTGGTAGGCTCTTTGACAAAGTCTAAGCAGAGATTCAAAAAGAAGGCCTGCAGAGGCAACAAAAGGAGCCTTCACTCCTTTTCCCAAGCTAGCAGATTTTAAACACGTTTTCAAAAAAAAAAGAACTGTAGGGTAGAGGGGTGTCTCTAACATCACCATTTAGCAGATGGCTTTCATAAGCATTAATGCCCACAGATAAGGACCTGCGTTTTGTTTTCCAGGCTTTGCTGCATCAGTACTGACAGCGGCTTCACTTAAATGGAAAACCCATGGTCCCCAGCTCCACAGCCCTCAGCACTGCACTAACCTTTCTCCTCCCTCTGCAGGATGGTCTGTCTGTTCCCGGCCCTGTGTTACTTCTCTCCAGTCAAGCTTTTGAAAACTTCTTAACTTTTACATTTACTCATTTCTTTCATTCAAAAGCCTTGACAATAACTTACTGATATGGGATTGCCAAATTTATTCATCCCACATGTAATTCCTTAATTTTCAGAAAGGCTTCCCTTCCCACAGCTCTGGCAAAACCAAACTCCTAAAAGCTACCAACAGGGACCGCCCGATTGGCTCAGTTGGTTAAGAGCTCGCTCAACAGTGCGAGCTCTGAGCAACAGGGTTGCGGGTTTGATTCCTGGCCAGAGCTGAGCTGCCAACAGGTGGCAGCATGGCTCAGCTAAAAAGAAAAGGAAAAAAAAAAAAAAGCTGCCAACAATCTCTGGCCAAACATGACAATCCTTTTCAATCCTCACTCTTCTTCATTTCACTGTGGCACTAAATAGACACAGTTAATAACCCTTTGTGTACATGTGTGCTCACACACCACTGTGAAATTCTTCCAGGACTCTGAAATCTCTTAGTTTCCATCCTCTCTCTCTCCTTAGACCCCACTGCTGGTTCCCTTTTACCTCTCCAACCTCCTAGAAAGGCCTTTCTCCAAAAAGTCTCAGTCACTTGTTATTCTTTTACATACGTAAGTTTCTTCTTTCAGTCTCCTACGTGCTTTTTGATGCAATTTAACTTCTCCATCTCCTCGTCTTTGTTCCCAGCCACCTGATAAATCCTGCTGATTATATCCTAAATTCATTAAGGGGAGGAACGTCTCTATTTATCTACTGCAAGTAAATTATTCTAAGTCCTTTCAAAGCACAGCTAGACACGGAGATCTCTTTAACTTCATTTTCTAAAACATGATTTTCATCATGGCCCTCAGAAGCCTTCCCCGGGTACTCAGATTAGCTTTCAAGGTCGTCCATGACCTGACAGATCCTCTATACCAGTATGTTTCTCTCAGCATATGTTCCTCTCAAATCAAGCACAACTCACAAATCAGGCTTTTCCCATTTTATCCACGTTATTTCCCCCCACCTGATGGTTTCTTTGCCTTCTCACCCAGCTCATCAACCTGGGAAGAATCTCTTCCTCTGTGAAAACTTCCACCACTCCCAGTTGTGCCAGGACATCATTTGACTTGTTGCACTTATAAGATACTAATATCAAGTAAAATGGATTGGCAGCTTCTTAGACGAATGAACTATGCTTTTTACTTTTTTTTGGGGGGGGGAGGGGTGTCTCTAAGAACACAGCAAATGGTTCATCACATTGTACATAGCTAATACTTACTAAAATGCAGCAAGTATTTTACCAGATATAACAACATACCTTGCCAGCCAGGCGGCTGGAGATGATTCCATTGCTAGATATGAGGCAGTCGGCAAGAGTGGTTTTTCCTGTTAAAATAACATTAGTAATTAAGTCCATTTCTTTTGTCTAAGAGGGAATGGACTTTATAGAGTGAACATCTAACCACAAGAACTGGTGTAGCAAAGGTCTCCTATTTATGCCGAGTGAAGCAAGATACAAACGGCATTTTAAAGAGTTGAATTGGAGTTTTGGCCAGAATCTGGAAAGACACAGATTCTAGTGCTCTTATAGTGCTGAATGAGTTCCCTCCGACCCTGTGGAGCTACTCATCAGCCTTCCCTGAAAAGCTGTCAAGCAACTCTTTCTACTGCAGAACTTCTTTTTGAGTTGAGGCATAATTTACAGAGTAAAACGCACAGACATTTTAAGCGACGAGGCAAAAACACGGTGCCAATCAAAACATAGCACCTCTCTAACCAACAACTTTGACATGGTCACTAAAATCCACCCTGCAGGAATTGGATCAACTTGATCGTCATGATCATCTCAAACACCTATGACAATTCCCTTACCAGCCAACTTAACCCCGTTGGTAGCTCAGAATGACAAAAAGACAGCACAGTGATTTTTTTTTTTCCGTCTCTGAACGGAGGAGCCGTACTGGGTCAAACAAGAGGGCATACTTTTTACATTACAAAAGTCACTTCGAAAATGCTTCACGTTGGGACAAAAACTCCAATCCTCGTTTGAAAACACAAGGCCGGACACGAGGCTGCAAATCACGGGTCAGGTGCCTTTATGTCACACGTGTAGCGGTGCGCGCGGCGGAGGACATCCCAATTTTCAAGGACCAGAGGCTTGCTGCTCAGCCAGCGTCCCTCCGCTGACACGCGTGGGGACGCACCCCCGTAAGCGCTTGCCAGGCAGCCACCGAAACAGGAGTCTCACCGTGGTCCACGTGGGCCAACACGCAGATATTCCTGATGTTGGCCGTGTTTTTCTGGAGCTGGATCATCTTATCCAAACTATGGAGCACCATGGTCTCGCGTTTCCTGTGAGTGAAGATTTTACGTGTGTTACAAACGGCACAGGGGCTATAAACGCCGGCTGTTTTTTTCCCGTTTGTGTGTTTGTTTTTTAACGCTGGGAGGTGACAAGAAAGAGCCCGGGGCGCATTTCCTGAAGGGGGTTCTTCACCCAACGGAGGCCCCCCCTCCCCGGGGGGGCGCCGAAGCAAACAGCGCGTTCACGCCTCTACCGAAGGGAGTCGGCTCAGCCCGCAGGGAGGGGCGGCCGCCGTGCGTCACGCGGCTCCGGCTCACGGACGAGCCCTCGGTCCGTCGCTGCAGGTCTGCGGCCCCGGAGAGGCGGGGCGGCCGGCGGGGAGCGAGGAAACGCGGCGCCCTGTCCCCCCTCCCCACCTCGCTCCAAGCCCCTCCTTCCACCGGCCCACTGAGCCCGACAAGTTTGGGGTCACGTGCCGACGGGGCACCGGGGTCCTTCATGCCTTTGCAAAGAGAAGGCAACACCTCAACTCTCCATTCCCTGCACCTCCCTCCCTGGACTCCCAAGACCACACAGAAGTGCGGCCGTTCCCAGTCCGGGCTCGGACCCCGCCTGGCCCCGCCGGCCCGTCCGCCCGCCGCCCGGGTCCCCACCGCGCTCGGAGGACGCCGACGGCCAGCGCCGCCCGCACTTACTCGCTCGGGACCCCCTCGCTCGGCTCCACACTCGCTTCAGAGGCGCCCCGAGCTCCGCGGGTTCCGAACGCCGGCGCGCGGGGCGGGGCTGGGGACGCACGACCTCTGACCCGCGCTTACTGACGTCACCGGAAGCCAGCGCCGCGTCCGTCTCCCCGGGACCCCGCGTTGCCTTGACGACGGAGGGCGCGGTAAACCTGAGACAGCTGCGGCTCTGAGGCTCGGCGGACTGGACCCGGCGGGCGGAGAGCATGAGGAGCTGCTGCCTGTGTCAGATCTGCACCTGCGGGTGAGAGGCGGCCCGGGGGCTGCGGCCGGGGCGGAGGGCGGGGCTTAGACGGCCGCCGGGTAGAGGAGGGGACGCGGGCGCCGCTGGCTCCGCGCCCGCCGGCTCCCAGCTTTACACGTTTCAGCTCTACAGACGCCCTGCCCAGGGGTGCACGCTGACCTGCCCTCGGCCAGGCGGCTAAGAGATGAGTAAGCAGCGGCCGGATCAAGGCTGCTAAGTGGTGTGATCTGATAGAGACGGGAAGTCCTGCAAAATCTGAAAAGGGAGGAAAAAGAAAGGTCGGGCAGCAGAAAAAAAAAAAAAAGCATGGAACAGATTAGTGTACAAGTGCGCTGAGTTTTCAACCCCTGCTACGCCTCCTGCCATCGCCAGTTTTCCGTCCAAGCCTGACCCTGTTCCCATGTCCGCCCAACCCGCGCTCCTTTCGGATCCGAGTGACTGAAACCGGAGCGGTCTCCACCCTGAAAGCCAGCATTGGTCTCTGGGTCCTGCCTAACAACCTCCCACCCCGGAAGGCTGTGTCGTCGTCTGCCTCAGCTTCGCTGTTGACCTAGGGATTAGATCCATACCTACTGAATACATATCATCAATATGTCAATCTTTTTGTATTGTAATCCCCTCCAAAGGAATGCCACTTGGCATGTTGATGGAAAGCAGTCCCCCCCATTTCAATGATAAACGTTTATAATGAATCATTAGATATAGATTAAAAGATAAATTAACATTTGCGGTATGAACCTGAAAACTCCGATGTGCAAACATTGGTTAATTTTTTTTTTCCTAATCTTTAATTTATCCAACCCAAGTTCCGTTTCCATCCAGCTGCGAGGAAATTCAGTGAAATGGTCCAAGGAGCTGAGGCACTGCCAGGGTAACAATGTCCTCTGGACTTTGAACGCCGGTAAATGCTTCCCACGGAAGCATCTCTTGCTTAAGTTCAGGGACGTGATCCCTTCAAGACTGGTGGCGCCCCCCCCCCTTTCAGTTTATGTTTGAGGCACAAGGATCTTTGGCAAAGCTGGGAGACACTAATGTAGGGTTCCATTTAGCCAGCTCGTTTGCGATCTGGCCACCTCCTGGGACACCGATACAGAAGGGAGCAAATATTCCTAACTCTTCTAAGAACACTTTTCCTCTTATCTTTTACCTCCTTCCTCTCTCTGGGGAACTGTTTCCTTCTTTGTCTTTTTCAGTCCAAGACCACCTTTTTACCCTGGGGCCCTAAAAGACAACTACCTACTTTTCATCTCCAGAGGGACACCTGATTTCATCTCTTTCGTGGATAATTTTTTTTTTAAGAGACAGGAAAATGTATTGACTTCACACAGCTTCTATTCTCTGCCTGGCAACAAGTAACCATAAAGGTCCCGACTACCTGTTTGAAATAAAAGAGGAGGAGGAAAAACAAGGAGGACAAAATCATTGATATGTCAATACCTTGCCTCTCTCCAGGAGGATCAGAATTTGTCAGGAGCCTCTTCAGGGAAATTTTGACCTCCTTCCTGGTACTTTGTCATCTTGCTGTTTGAATTTTTTTTTCCCCCTCATACTGTGTAACTAAATATTTTCAAATGTCTTTCTTTCACTATATCAGTCAAAGCAAACCATCCATCTCCTAACATAATTTTCTCTGCACACAATTGCTCATGTGAGCTAAACTGTGATGGAGTTATTTTATGTTGAAAAGCAAAGTTGTGGGATGCTAGAAAAAATGGAGAGTTGGTAAGGATAGCCAGCTTTCTTTGCCAACCTGGTCTAAATGGTTGGGTGAGATTTGGAGGAAGGAGGAGGGAGAGGATGATGTTTATTAAAAGGGTAGGAAATCTATGCCTCAAGTTCCTGATGGCAGATAAAAAAATGCATACTTCCTCATTCCTTTCCTAGGATCTACTGAAATAAAAGTATAGAGACCAAGGTGGAAATAAACCCCACATTATTGAAAAGAATGGGAAGAGGACTCATCTAACAGATGAAATTTCAACAAATTTTTGGCATATAGAAAAACGATAGGCATGCTGACAGATAAAAAAAAACTGATAAATTGAAGTAGACGTTCTGAAGTAGACATGAGAGTCTGTCAATCAGGGTCTGAGACAGACATTGGTCTAAGTTGAGGACAGAAGGGTAGTCTGTATACAGAAAGAATTTGACCGCTGAATCCTAAACACCCATATTGTTTGGCCTTCCCCTCTACCATCTGCCCCCACCAAATAAAGCACAGGCAGCTGACACCCACCCCTAAGGGCTGGGAGGAAGAATGCTTCCTTAAGGCAATGAAATTGCTTGTCTAGGGAAAGTGAAGACTCCAACTGTGGAAACCTGCCATGAAAGAATAGGGCTCAAAATAAACTAGATGGTACAGTAGAGAGGTTGAAAAGCTTCAGTGCACGTGAAATGCAAAGAATGTAAGAGGGATTAAAGGTATTAGAAACTTCAGGAAAATAAAAAAGCTATACAATAAAATTATGGTTCAAAATGGAATGATTTTTAAATATTAAAAATTGATAGCATGAAAGAAAAGATAATTTAATCTTGAGGCTAGGAACGTTTTACTTTGAATGCTCTTAGGGTCACGATGTGGAACCCACAGATTAGAAAAGGTACCCCTGCACTCAATAAGTGGCCTACCTTTAAACAATATACCACAGTCACTGTAATGTCATAGGGTCCTAGGCTCAGAGCTTTTCAAAAACTAGGTACAAAGCATGACAACTTGGTTGTGTTGAAGGACAAAATCTAAACAAGCGTGTAATATATAATAAAATAAAAAGGTATAGCAGGAAAAAAGTCAGATGTCTTGAAAGGAAGGTGAAAAATTAGAGAAAAACAATTAGGAGTTAATACTTTTCTCTATTGTCTTACAACGTGGAGAGAGTCAAAGAAAAGTATTTAGGGGCTAATATCTTCATCCTGCAAAGGTGTATGTTCAGAAATGCTCTAAATTGATGGACTTTAAAAAAATAAAAAGATTCAAGTGTATATTTAAAGATACAAATGCAATCAAGGTGCTTACATGCAAGATCCTTTTCACTCAGCTATTTGCTCAAATGTAATGAAAGATCCTCTCATTCAAATCTCTGCTCCAGTGTCATACTGTCTAAAATTGCACCTCCCTGCCCCACCCCGCACTCTGTGGCACTTACCTGCTTCACTTTATTCCACGCGTTTAACCATTGCGTGATATACTGTGTGTTTCTCTGATTTAGTTGTTCATTGGCTGTCCCTGCCCTCCTCACTAGATGTTAGCTCGAGTAGAGGAGGGAATTTTTTTTTGCCTTTTCTTTCTTTATTGCTGCATCCCCAGTACCTTTGCATAGTTGTTGCTCATTAAATGCTTGCTGAATGAATGCATGATCATATAACACTAGGCATTTGAGTGGAATGGCATAAATTAAATCTTTATCTGTAATTTACGTTAGAATTTGAATGTTGGGAATTTCAGCATGTTCAAAGCTCGTAAAAAGCATTCCAGATGTAGCCTCCAGAAAAAAACAAAAAGCAGTGACAGTCATAAGTTGCCTCTAAGGACTGGGAATATTGGAATAGGAGGCTTTTGCTTTCCTTTATAAGCTCTTCATCCCTATTAGGTTTGTTACAATGAGACTGTATTTATTTCTCTGATGGGAAAGAAAAGTAAAAACAATGAGAAATCCCAACACTTGGACTTGGTTCTTGTAACTCGTGCAGCTCTGTTCAAACCTCCGTGCCTGGCCTGTGTACCCTATGGCTAATTTTTCCAAGAGACCACGTGTGGTACTAAATCACTTTGGCACTTTCCCAAAGCCTCCATTTCCTGTCGATATTCCTGAATGTCTCTCTTTTTTTTTTTTTTAAGATTTTTATTGGGGAATTGGGAGAGGGGAACAGTGTTGGGAAATTGGGGAAGGGGGACAGACAAGTTCCTGTTCTTTGGTTCTTCAGTCTAGTTGTGGAAGACATCGCCTCACTGGCCCATGTTGGTATTATCATTTTGCTCTTCCTGGATGAGGCAGATCGGTCGCTGACCTCTGGACGGCCGCTCACAGCGGCTCTTGGCAGCTCACACCGGCTGCTGGCCGCTCACGCTGGCCGCCGGCCACACACGGTAGCCCACGGCAACCCACTGCAGCCTATGCCGTCGCCAGCGACTCATGGCAGCCCAGCTCAAGGTCGAGCTGTTGTTCACCATCTTAGCTGTAGAGGGCAGTGTCACTGGCCCTCATGTGGGATCCGAACCGGGGCCCTGCTGCACAGAGCTGACATCCCAAGCCAGCTCTTAACCAATACGCCACTCGGCCGGCCCCCTGAATCTCTTGACAACCCTAACTGTGCATTTTCTTGGCTAGCCCAAACCACCCTCTCCTTCCCTCCCTGCACTACATTCATCATGCTGTCCAGTTACCTCCAAGCACACTGATTTCTCCTGTTTTCTTCCTGGAGGCCCATGGAGTCCGGATTTCCTGGGTGGTCCCGACTCATCTACAGATAGTCGACACTTTCTTCAGCTTTACCTGGCCTCACATTAGCAACCCTTACCACACAGCCTGGGGTCCCCTAATGATACCGTGCCTTCTATTTCAGGATGTGAGAGTTTACTTTTTTTGTTTACTTGGGTTTTTTGTTTGTTTTATTGCAGTTTTATCCTTTTCTTTCTGATTATGAAATAAATGCACAAAACATAGTATAAAATTCAATTAAGATCTACAATGTAGTGAAATTCCCTCATAATCCTATTCCCCACAGATACCACATGTTCAAGACTTGCTTTACATCCACATTCTTTAAAGAGAGAGCATACTTCATATATTATTCTACAACCCACTTTTTCACTATCTGCAGTCGTCCATCTTCCAACAGTCACGCATAAAAGTCAACTTCATTCTCGTAACAACTGCACACTATTAGCACGTATTGGCCAGGGTTCTTAGTTATGGACAATATAATCTAGTCTGGCTGAAGGAATTTATTAAGGAGTATATATAGCTCACAGAACTGTTGGAAGAACCAAAGAAACAGTTTTCAAACTAAGCTTTCCAGAAAATTTCCCCAAAACTCTCACCGCGGAACTGGGCTGGCAAGGCAGCCACAGCCTCTGCCACAATCAGGAAACTGCCACAGAGCTCTCATCACTGCCAAGGTCAGGACGCTGCCAAGTCAGAAAGCCACCTTCAAACCAGGAAGCTGCCTCCCAACCATGGGCTCCAAGCTCTTTGCTCTACACGGTCCATGTGAGCAAAATGGACATGTCCTGACCTCTCTGTAGCGCTCTCTGAATCTAAGCCTCCTGTGAGCACATCCAGCAGGTGACACATAAATTGTACGTGGAACCTGCCTGCAAGGGGCCTCGGAAATTTACCTATTAGCTTTTCAGTTTCTGCAGCAAAACAAGACTCATGAAATTGTCAAGCAAAGCCAGAGTTTCCACCACAGGAGGCTATAACACAATTTAGTCACTGTTTTTCTAAACACCATTGCAGAGAACACAAGGTTTTATGTTTCCTTTTTTAATAAAGCTGCTCTTGGATTTAGAGATCCTGAGTTTATCCGAGGTCTCTGATTAAAAATGGAATGATCAGGCAAAATGTTTCTGAAGGTGCAAATAATCTTTCAGCTTCTTTATGTTCACACAGGCGACATCACTGTCCACATGGAACCACTAGGATTTATGAAAATACTGGCGTGTACTGCCCCACAACCGAATATTTGGAGAAATATCCTACCTATGGCAGTGTTCTTCCAGCTCAGAGTTTGAAGCCCAAGCAAGAATTCCGAGCATACCGTGGTAAAATGGAAGGAATAACAACATTTAAGTAAATACCGAGAAACTATTTGCTCTACTTATTCTTCTCCCAACTCTTCTGGTCTTAATAAAGTTTTTTACCGCTGTAAATTGCACTCTTTAGTGGATTTAAGTGGAACCCATTCAAGAAGCAAGAAACCAGCTAAGTCACAACTTGAGAAAAACAGGAAGATGAGAATTGAGTTAGAATGACAGAACGTGAAAAGGAAGAGGGGAAATAAAAAGTCCTATTGCTATTTTTTTTTAACCTGCTAAAGTCTCTCATATGTATCTGCTTTCCGCTGTCACCAGGACCTAGAAGAATGCAGTAGCTTCTTAATTGTTTTATGGGTGTCGCGTCTGGTTTTTTGCATCTCTGATCTGTTTCTATACTTCAGCCTGCCGAGATGGTCTTTTTAACATGCACATCTAACCCTGTAGCCTCCCTGCTGAAAATACGCTTATCCTTTCCCGCTGTACTGAATATACATCGAACTCCTTCCCGAAGTCTCTTCATGGTTTGGTCCTTACTTGCCTCACTAATTTATTTTCACTGCAAAGCCCTTTGTACTCTTACGCTTACATCCCATAGGACGTTTTTCACTTCTGGAAAGTAGCAGGTTTCTCCTTCCACATAACCTTCCAAGATACTATTTTAGCTGCTTGAAATTTTCCCTTCCTCTTACCGTTTCAACATGTAGATCTCAACCCAGTTATCACAATGAAAAGCCTCGCCCAGTTTTCAGGCTAGGTAAGTCTCCTCTGTAAACTCTCAAAGCATCTTCCTGTTTGTCAGTAAACAAGTTTCAGGGTTCTGTGACAGCAGGAATTGTGTCTGTTCTCATCTCAGCGTTCTGCTTCTTGAATCCTAGTGCAATGCCTACTAGCACATAGTAGGCACTTGATATGTCTTCAGTGGGTAACGGGAAAAAAAACATCCTACGCCTAAACTTTTCATTTGGACTTACCTTTTTTGTATGTTTGTCAATACAATAGGTTAATTCTTTTCTTTATTCTGTTAATGTGCACAAGATATTCAAGGCAGTCTTTGGCATTAGATATAAAAAGATCAATAAATAAAGATTCCTGCTTTCAAGGAACTCATACATCAGACTTCTATAATTTGGGGTTAAAAAAAATGCTCTGCAACAACTTTCGTTTTTTTTCATTCCATTTCGCATAGAGTTCATTTTACTTCCACAGCACAGGTGATGGACAGCCGGAGTTGGCAGGAAGTCTGCCCTGAAAGTATGACTCTGGACGGACGTGTCACATGTTTTGGGATAATCAGATGAATAAAAGCGCATTTACCTTTTACTACTTTTTTTTTTTTTTTAAGAATTTGTATAAGATTTTAGTTGAGCCAAACTGATAACAACTGCCAGGCAGCAAGATTCCCAATGCTCCTTTACTGCTTCTTTATAATAGAGAGCTTCTTTCTAACACTTAACTAATCTGCCTAGAGCAACTCAGCGGGCTAAGCTTTCTCTCTGTCCTCCCTGAGCCTTCCACTCCCCGGCTGCGTTTTAGCCTCTTCACTTCTAGCTGGTATTTGGGAAGAGCAAAGAACAACTCAGATGGCTTGAGGAGCAGAGGTATGTGATTTCTACTATGATTCATCCACTAAAGAATATTTATCATGTGTCAGGAACTGTGCTAGACACCTGCGATCCAGGGGTGAACAAAAAACCGTCATGACTGATGTCTGTGCTCCAGGGCGCTGCATCTCGTGAAGGTGGCAATTCAAAACATCACTCTTAAGTGTAACATTGCAACAAGGATACAATCTGTGAGGGATAGACACGAGGTAATGTGGGAGCCAGAATAAGAGGTTTGACTTTATCAGGGAGATGAGAAGAATGAGCTAAAACCTCAGAAGAACTGAAGCAATGAACGCGATGAAGTGGGTAAGGAAGTGCTTTCCAGCTGAGCAGGAAGGAGGATGTTCTTAGGCCAGCGCAGCAGAGGAAGCGTGGTGTGCCTGAGGCGATGATGGAGGCCTGAGGGCCTCGGCCATGCTGGCTGGTTTTCCTCTGTCTCAGAGCAATAAGAAGGCACTGAGGTTCCTTTCTTGTCTGTCTGTTGAGGGGGGTAAACAAAGGGGGCAAGGAAGAGGCTAGAGAGATGAGGGCAAGGATGACCTCAGGTTTACATGTGAAAGGATTACTTAGCAATGTGAAAAAAGATTGGAGAGAGAACTGGAGTGGACGCAGGTAAATGAGCTCAGGAAACCAGCATGAGCTATTGTGAAAGCTTTGACTAGGATGTCGGTGATGAGATGGGGAAGAGCAGTTAGATTTGGGGGACATTTAGGAGGCAAAATTGATAGTTGATGAGATACGGAAAGGAGGTGAGGTATGAAGGGTGAGTCCTAGGTTGCTGGCTGTGCAGCTGAAGAGATGGTGATGCCAGTCACCAAAACGGAACAAGCAAAAAGGACCATATTGGTTGGGCGGGCGGGAACTGTGAGTTTAATTAGGGGCCTATTAAGTTTTGAGGTGCCACTGAATTTCCAAGAGGCCATCGTACATGCTGGTATGGGCTCAGAGAAGAGGTCTGAGCTGAGAGAAATTTGAGTCCTCTCTCTGTAGGCAGTAACCGAAGCTGTGCTGGAGTAGAGGCGTTGTCCTCAGGAGTGAACGTGGATGAGAAGAGTGTGTGTGGGCTCCAGTGTCAAGGCACTGCCGGCGTTTAATGGTTGAGTAGAGGAGGATGACGCGAGGACTTCCTGGAAATAGTGGGAGTGGGCAATCATGTCAATCACCGCTGAAGAGGTCGAGTGAGAGGAGGACTTAAATTATCTGATAGATTTAATCCCATAGAAGACGCTGTGACCCCTCGAGCTGTATTAGAGAAGTGACAGTGCTGGGAACCTGGCTGAGGTGGGCTGAGGCGGGAGAGGGAACGAAGTCAACAAGTCTAAGAAGTTATATTGTGAATAGGAGAAGGGATTCGGTGAGTTTTTGTGTTTTTTTTTGGAGCTTACGGATGTATACAGGTAACAGTAATACAAGATGGCTTAAACTAATCATAAAATGAGTGACAGAGTCAATAGAGTCCAGATGACCAAAAAAAAAAAAAAAGCAATTTTGAAGATTTGTAATAATAGTTAGCATATTGCCCTTACTATGTACCAAGCAGTGTGTGCGTGTGTGTGTGTGTGCGCGCGCACGTGCACGCGCACCTGCATGTGTATGTGTCAGTCCTTAAAACAACCCTATGATGGAGATGGTATTGTCCTATTTTATATATAAGGACACGGGCATAGAAAGGTTAACTACGATGTCCAAGGTCATGCATGTAGTGAATGCCAGAGCCAGGATTCGGACCTCGTCTGATCAGTCTGAGACTGGTCTCCTTCATTCCACCAGACGGCCTGTGTCTGCAGTCCTGGCCCTGCCACATAATGTACATAATGCCCAGCAGAGCTGGACTACAACGCGGCTCCCATCCAAGGCAAGGGCTTTTGGGGGATCCAAGGATGACTAAGACACATCCATACTCTAAATGTCATTCATGTCTAAAGGCCAGAGTTTATCATTTAATGGTGAGCCGGAAGACAGCATGACTTCAGTAAGAAGAAAGCACGCCCAAATAGTTTACTAAAGTCTTCAAAGAGGATGAGTAAGAATTTTGGCAAGTGGACCCAGAGCATACATTTAAAATTCTTTTCATATTCACTAAATTTTTCACCTGGATTTCCTTCCACGTTAGGAAAAAATTTCAATTACTGGAAGATTTTATTTATGTAACATCCAGTTAACTAAGGATCCGTTGTAATGATGTTTTGAAACTAGGATTTTTGATATATTTCTTTTTTCTTCAGGTATTTAGTCACAGGATAGGACATAAATTCAATTATTCCTTTCAAGTAGTTCATCAACTGTCACCATTTTAATATCTTCTTAAACTTTTCAAGTAAAATAAATCTTGAAATTTTCAATACTGTATTCAAATAATAATAATAATAAAAGAACCTGTGAGGCTATGTTTCAAATTTATATATTTCAGGTCGGATTATCGTCCTTATGAAATAGTCCAACAGCCTCGCCATGTACCAGAAGAATATAAACCCAAACAGGGGGAGATTGACCTTGGTACTACCTACAAACACGATTTTAATTCTTATAACATACAGCCTGTGGCTATAGTCCGGCCCTTGGAGAGGCAGCAACTTAAAAAAGGAAAGATGGACACTGTTCCAACCTATAAAGGTAACTTGCCATTTCAAAAATGAAGGGGCCACAAAACTAGAACTCATGTCCAGCTTTGACATCGAACTTGAAATCATTATTTCGATGTGTTGCCGAACTTCGTTCTCATGGCTTAGGAAAAACACTTTTCTCTTTGGTCAAAATAGTATAGTGAAAAAAAGACCATTTGCCTGATTGAAAGTTAAAAGAGACCTGGATTCCTGTCCAAATTCAGCCATGTACTTAGTTTTCTCTATCTCAGAACATATTTAAAAAGCTGCCATGGAACAAGCATTATGCCATATTTATCACATTATGCCCCCACTTAGATTTGTTGCTTTCCTTCCATCCTAGAATGAGATTAAACTCTTCCAAGCGTACTATAGTCTTTGAGAAGGTCAAATAAATAGCAGCCCTCTTCAAAGCCAATGAGAGTGTAGATTTCAATTCAACCATATCAATAATTACATTAAGGGTAAATGATCTAAGCATGCCAATTAAAACAGAGATTGTCATATAATAGAACACCAAGAAAAGAAAGCACCAATTAAGTGCTGTCTACATAAAACCTATGTTAAATACAAAGATGCAGATAGATTAAAAGCAAAAGGATGGAGAAAAGCATATCATGCAAACTCTACAGTTGAAAGAAAGCTGTGGGACTGACCACATTAATACCAGAAAATGGAGCCTTCAGAGCAGGAATGTTACCAGGGATGAAGAGGGACATTAGCTAAGGCTGAAAAGGCCAGTTCCCCTCCTGTCCCCTTGCCTCCCTTCCCTGTTTCCTGTGTTTTCAAATTTCGGTTCACAAGGACAAGAATATGCTTGACCCAGCTCACCTTTTCTTGCCAGGTTAATTCATAGGTCTCTGTAGCCTACAGATTGTCTGCTCTTGGCCCCCAGGTATCTACTCTCACCCAAACGTCAGTAGCTTGGGGCGGGAGTAATCGTGTGGCCCCAAACTTGGTCATCTTGGCAGAAATGTCTATGGATAAGGAATTTTTCTCTTCAAAGGAGGTATCCACATAATAAGCATTTGAGTTTTGGCCTTTCCAATAAACATTGTCTGGACTTTGGACCCTAACACTTTATCTTGCATAACTTGTTTTATAAATTAACTTTTGGTATTTCGAAATACATACATTTGGGTGACGTCCATTCTATAGTATTCCTCAGCCTTCTGCCTTCCTCACGTAGAAACAGAACACCCAAACAACCCTCAGCTGAAGTCTAAGCCCTTCAGTTTTCCATCCATGGTCTAGGGAAGTGGCGAGCAGCAGAATGAAGGTACTTACCACCAAATCTCAGACTGAGCTATGCTGCTTCCCCTCTAAATTGTGTATACTATTGCTCACACCTCTGAGAGCACTCAGTCCAGGCCTGTAGCATCCACACAGAGATGGATGCCTTGAGATCCATTTCCTGAGGAGGCAAGTTGAAGACAATGATCTTTCTGGGATAGAACGAGTTCCCTGGTAGCTTTGCTCAGGGAGTCAGTCCTGCGGGCTTCCTACAGGATAATGGAGCTGAAGTTCTCTCTCTTTCCAGGAGCCCCTCCAGAACCAGAAGTAATCCCCACATCAGTCTTGCCCACACAGCAAGGCCCCAGATTTTATGTTAGTCCCTAGATTCTGTGGTTGATTTTATTTAGCATTTTGTGAGTGACAGTGAAAATCCCAACCAGTTCCTGGGAACAACCGTAATCCCTCAACTCTGCCTACATCCAAAACACAGCCTTTTGGTCTTTCAAAAACTGTCAGTGGTTGGGCTCCAATGTTCCATCGTCTGTGGTGTAATCAGATGAATCTGGACGTGGAAGTGACATGTATTAAAGGGGAGACAGGAGGAGCCAGGCAGAGAGGAACAAAGAAGAACAAATCTGAGGGGCATCAGGGAAACTGCACACGTGGCTGTGTTCCGATTTCTACAGGAAGTGGATCTGGGCAGTGAGAGAAGTCATGGTTTTGAGAAAATGGTTGTTGTCTTCAGTATTTAAAAATGCTCTTTTTTTTTTCCCCCTCCCAAGATGATTATAGAGTTTGGGACCTTCAGAAAAGCGAACTTTATAAACCGAAACAAGCTTACTATCCCCCCACTGTGAAGTTTGGAAATTCGACTACATTTCAGGATAATTATGTTCCTTGGGAGATACGGCCGAGGCAGAGCTCTAAACCCATCTCCGTGGTCCAACGGCCCTCTGTCCCTTTCAACGGTGATACAAGCCATCGCCTCGATTATGCACCTTATCAACTAGAATCCAAGACTGCGCGGCCCAAAGAGGTTTACAAGCCAAGCAACCTGCCCTTTGAGGATCTCACAACTCACCGATGTCACTTTCAGGGTCTTGCTGGGGAAACTGCAAAACTCTGCAGACCTGCACACACCAGAGTGACACAAAGCGCCCAGTTTGAAGGGAGCACTGAATTCCGTGACAGTTTCCCACCCTGGGAAATCCCACCGCTGAAAGTCAAGAAGGTCCAAGAGTACGTCCCGCCTGCAGGGTCCATGCAGTTACACAGCACCAGCCATCTCGACTATGTTCCGTACCAGGCCACACGTGTCGTCCCCATCAGGCCCGTTTCTCACAGAAGTCGCCGTTTTCCTTTCCAGGGAAAAAGCACCACGAAGGAAGATTTTCCAGCATGGGAAAGTTGTCGTCAAGGACTCATTAAAAGGCAACAGCAGATTCCCAACCCAGCTGGAAAATTTGATGGTTTGAGCACTTTCAGATGTCATTATGTGCCACATGAATTGATTCCAACGGAGAGCTGCAAGCCTGTAAGTGTTCCTTTGCAGAGTTCTCATCCATTTGATGATGTCACCATGTACTCCACCGAGTATGCACCGAAGAAACAGGAAATCTGCCCCGCGAGCTATCCTTCTCCTCCGGGTTATATCTTTGAAAATACTAATTCCCAAGGTCATAAGTTCTTCCGCAAGATTACGCCCACAGTGAAAGCCTTCTAACCGGCAAGTCATGTTCAAAAGGCAGCTATCAGGATGTTGGTTTTCCAAGGGCAACACCGTTTTATTTTTTATAGTAGAAAAAAATTTATGAGAGCTAACACAAATCATTTTTAATCAAGAAAATTGGAAAATTTGTTACAGGAAATCAGGGTCTTAAAATTCACTTTTTGTATTGCTATGTTAACCAAGATTGTTCTTTAGTATGCCTTTCTGAAAGTTGAATAATGTACCTTCCCATCCAAACTATTTTAATCCCCCACATATTCTTTGGTAGCTTGTCTCCAATCTATTATCACTTATACTTGAGTTTACAATTATGGCAACTGTATGTATGGTGATTCGCATGCGTTGTCACTTCTGAAGCCCACTGGGACAGTCTCAAATACCACTGAAAACGATACAGGGATTCCTTTTCTTCTACCGAGTGGACAGTGAGTCAAGTTTGGGTGGGTGGTGGGGAAGATGGTGCACTGCCCTTCAGTGTTCAAATTAGTACGAGCCACTGAGGTGTGACAAGGAGAGGCTCCGTGGGCTGGGAATCAGAGGATCTGAGTTCAAGTGCTAATGACGTTGGTTTTCATTGGTACCACCCTAGGCAAGTGACTCATGCCTGGGCCTCAGTGTCTTTGATTGTTAAAGGAGATCTGCCCTGCCTACCTCACAAAATTTGTGTTTTGCACGTCAGCTCCTATGATGCACTGTGATCACAAAGTCAAACTGCTACACAGATGTCAGGGATCGTTAGTGAGTCACTGCATATCCTTTTGTACCTGTTGTTTCCTTTTTCCCATCAGGATAATTACCTACTCAGTAATCACTCCCTTTTGGGCCTTAACAAGGATTTTAAAATAGCCTCCTTTGCTTCAATCTTATGAGTAGTACAATTTCTGAGAAGTCTTGCCCTTGAGATCTTCCACGAGCACCGGAGTTGTTGCTACAGAGAATGGAGAGCTTGGAATGGGGGGAATCAGGTGGTTTGAATGACAGTATTTCCAGACAGGAAAAAGCACTGGCTAGAGTAGTTTTAGGGAGGACTGAGAGCACTGAAGAGATCTTCAGGGTAACCTCAGGTAATTACACACCTGGTTGCCACGCCCAGAGTCACAGTTCAGAAGACCTGGGCTCGGTGTGGGGCATAATGAGGTCCCCATCCAAGTGGAAAGAACACACTTCATCTACAAATTCTGAGAATTTCCTAATGAATCAAACACTTTAGGGTGAGTTTTTTCCCCTTTGATAAATGATTACATTATGGGACAGTATGATTTATCATAAAGTTTAGTCTTTTGTAATTTTTGATTTGTTTCAAATTATATATACTTGAGAATAAATCCATGTAGTTAAAAATTTTTAATTATTTAAAAGTTGTTTTTATTTACATTTCTATTCATTAGTCAAAAATTAGGATATGTAGGATTTTATATCTCTGCAACATTAATAAAGCACCAATAAAATAAATGAATGTTCATGAAATCATTTCCATACGCGATTTTCTCTAGAAAATAGAGCATTTTAATAAAGTCTTAGCTAGGTTAATCTGTACATAATTAGATAGTCTTGCCTTTTTAACAGAAAATATTGTCATGCACTCAAAAAACTAGGGAGTCCTACAGCACTCTGACCCTGGCCCATTTTCTGAGGCTGGGTATTCAGATCTCTCTAATCTGATTAGGAGGTCTCCTCCCTGGACAGAGGTCCCCCAGAATAAAACATCTACTGGGGTTTCCTGAGGCAGTTGGCCTTGGGCTGAGGACACAAAGAAGAAAAACGGTGTCTCCCCACAATCTAACACTCCATATGACAGGTGTGAATATAGAGACTGGAACAACGGACATGGGACACGTAGCCAGGGAGCTCGGGACAGGTGTCCCTAGGGAAGGGACAGCTGAGCTGAATCCTGAAAGGTAAGTAGGAATTTGCCAGAACAAGCACAGTGGGGAGGTGGGAACAGCACAAACAGATACACAGCTGTACCTCTGTGCCTGTTAAAGAGACTTCCAAGATGCGGAGGCAGAAAGCCAGCCGCCCAATTCACTGTCCCCTTAGCAGGAGACGCACCCTCACATCCCCACATTCTAACAGCCCTGGAGACCAGTGATATTACCTATCAGCCTGCCAGATCCCAGAAGGAATTTCTACCAACCCGGGCTTGGATAACTCTGATGGAGAAAAAAGAATGAGGGTAGTAGGACGTTCCCATCCCACCCCATCCCATCTCCACCCTGTCTCTCTGCACATACACCCTGGTTGTGGAAAATAAGATCCCAGACTTGGAAATGAGAAAGAAAGGCTTTGTGGTTTATAAGAACTGCACGGGGCCGGCCGAGTGGCGCGTTGGTTAAGAGCTGGTTTGGGATGCCAGAAGGCCCGGGTTCGGATCCCACATATGAGGGCCAGTGACACTACCCTCCACAGCTAAGATGCTGAACAACAGCTCAACCTGGAGCTGGGCTGCCGTGAGTCGCCGGTGACGGCGTAGGCTGCAGCCCCTGTGGCAGTGGGTTGCCATGGGCTACCGTGTGTAGCCAGCACCCAGCGTGAGCAGCCAGCAGCCAGCGTGAACAGCCGTCCAAAAGCTGGCGATTGATCTGCCTCGCCTGGGAAGAGCGCAATGATGGTGCCAACTTGGGCCAGTGAAGCAATGTCCTCCACAACTAGACTGAAGAACAAAAGGACAGCAACTTGTCTGTTCCCCTTCCCTCAATTCCCCAGCGCTGTTCCTATCCCCCAATTCCCCAATAAAAATCTTTAAAAAAAAAAAAAAAAAAGAACTGCATGGACGGCGCTAAGCGTGAATCCCCATGTCCACTGTGGGCTCTGGGTGATTCTAACGTGTTGGTGTCAGTTCAGCCTCTGGTGCAGGCTGTGGGGCAAGGGGGCACGGGATACAGGACAACTCGGTACTTCCCCCGCCATTTTACTGTGAACCTTAAACTGTTCTAAAAAGACCATTAAAACAAAAACTACACAGCAGGAAGAAAAGAGGGGTGTGCTCACCAGTCCTAGGTTGGGAACCCTGCACTCCAGCTTCTTAATACGTCAGATTTACACTTTCTTTTCTATAAAACTACGACCAAGGCCGTCTGAGCATCGCCGTGTGAGAGGAGGGGCCTCGTGATACAAAGGGGAGAGGGAACCTCTGAGCATGAAGGCGAGCCATGCAGTCCTAGGTTAGCCAACTTCAAAGAGGCTCTTTAAAAAGAGCGCTGATGATATCCTTCCGAAGGAGTCATTGTGTCCAGTGAAACATCACGACTCTTCCATTTATTTCGTTAAGGCTTTCGCTTTTCCCCTCTCTCCACCCAGGGCTGTTTTACATGGATGTGCACATTTCCATTCTAGGTCACAGACATGGGACTTTCACCAGTGACAGCCCTTCCCACCTGCCCGTGAACAGAGCAGTTTCACAGCTGCTCTCTCCAGGGTGGCCAGGGCTATTTCACCATCACCTCCAATATCCGCGGGGACACTTCATTTGTGGCCACAATGGACTATAATGAGGTAACAGTGTCAGAGAGGCTTCCAGCCAGCAAGCATTTAAAGATGCTGAGTCTACAAGAGCAGCAGGAACTGGATTTTCTTCCACAGACAGACTAGTATGGGACCTGGTACAAATTACGTCCCTTCGCTGAGCCCTGTTTCTTCATCTATAACATACACTTCAGTGGCTCCGTATCCAGAATACACCAAGAACTTGTAAAACTCCACAACAGGGAAAACAAAAAAACGGGTAGGAAGTCTAAACAGATACTTTGCCAAAGAATCTATACAGAGGTAGGTGTTATTGCTAAGGTTGCTGTAACCAAGTACCCCCAACCGCATGGCTTAACAAACAGAAATGTACCGTTTCACCGTTCTGGAGGCGAGAAGGCTGAGATCCAGGCGTTGGCAAAGCGGGCTCCTTCCAACGCCGGGAGGGAATATCCGGTGTTCCTCTCTCCTACCTTCCGGAGTTTTGCCGGCCACCCTTGGTGTTTCCTTAGCTTGTAGCCCTCTGCCTTCATCTTCACGCAGCATTCTCCCTGTGGGCACACATCTGCATCCAAATTTATGACAATTATCAGTCACAGTGAGATTCACAGACCTACAGGACTTCCACCAACGTCACCCACCTGAATGAGCACACCTGAAGGTGATCATCTGCCAAGATCCTGTTCCCAAATAAGGTCGCATTCTGGGGGTTAGAAATTCTGGAGGTGATGCAATTCAGCCCATAGCAGGCCTATGAAAGGACGTTCTACATCATTAGTCATGAGGGGAATCTCTTTGAGTTGGAAACAACGTTGCTAACTTTTCCTCTCTCCTGATAATGCTCTATACTGCTTGTAACCTACATGGGACTTGGTTAAAAAAGAGGAGGAAACGAAGAAGAAAAGGAAGAGGAAGAAAGAGGAATGTACACTTGTGAGATCTCTGAGGCGTCTCACTGCTTATCTCCTGTGTGGCTCAGCCTCAGGAAGTTAGAGTCTCGTCTCCCAAGTTACTGTACAATGAAGGACTTTAGTCTTCCACAAGTGACCTTGGAAATTCCAAGGCCTGTGGCGAACGAAGGGGAATCTGAGTTCCAACGCCACGACTGATGTGTGTAAAGACTCACTGCTAATCCATTTGCACGATGCAAATGATGGGAAGGTGGTGAAAGGGTCACTCACCGACTGACTGCTCAACACCAGGTGCAGACCTTGCATGTCAGTCCCCAGGCTCCTCACCGCAGACAAAACAAAAGGGTATTAGTACCTCCTTCTGTCCCAACTACTACCTGCTTCGAGGCCTGTCTCAGGCTGTCCATTTTCGGGCTTCTTTCCACTCCTTCTGGCCTTGACATTCCTTTAACTCTTTGACTCACAGGACATAAACAGTCGGTGTAAGGGAGGCAGAGGAATCTCTGGGTGACCCGCCCTGAATCTTGTCACCTACACCCCAAAGGACAGCCCAGCACATCGGACCCATCAGGGTTGTGCCTGGACTCACAAGGAGACAGACAAGGCTGCCAAAAACGACACAAATAAGCCACCTACATTTATACGGGTGCCGCTGAATAATTAAAGTACATTTATTTCTGAATTCCTTCAGGGTCATGAAGGAGAAACCCCCCTCTTACGTTATAGAAACAGTAGTAACATACAGTACACAGGAATGTCGTTTGACTAGCCAATGAAAAATAGCCACTTTAAATATACAAGGGTGGATCGATTTAATAAGAAATTTTGTTAATAAGAAAAAAATATATGCCCCATGTCTTTATTACACACTGTACAAAATAAAATATTGCACCTTTAAGTCTTGTTAAGTATGTACAAAGAGTATTTTACAAGTGACCTTTCCTTTCATTTAGAAGCCTCCAGCCATCAGGTGAGAACGGACAACCAGGAACTCATGGGCTGGTGTGTCCTCCCCCGTCTGCTCCCAGCCACCCCTCCTCTTACAGTAGCGCTTGTCCCAGTGTCAGTAAGGCTGAGGTCACGCAGGACGCCCGGCGCTCAGCACACGGTGGAGAGGCTCAGCACGCTCGTCCACAGACACACCCAAAGCCACACACACTGTTCCCTCAGGAGTGGCCGGGGACGAGGTCCAGCTCCACCGGCTTCAGGTAACTGTGTTGCCGACAGGCGGTAAGCAGCCTGGGTACAGGTCACTGAGACACTGAGTGAAGAGGGAGGACCGCTTATTTCGGGTGGTGTGAACTCTAAAGCTGTAACCGGTAGAACGTTAAGAGAAAGCGCCAAATCAGCATTAGAACGTACAATGTCATCCTAGCCCCAAGCTGCTTCAGCAGCGGCATTGACTCCAAACGTCACCTCCATCCTGCCACTGTCACTGTCACCAGCATTGGCTCCAGTCTAAACCCAATCCAACTGTGACCTAACCTGGCCCTAATCCTAACTCCCAAAGCCAGCTCCAGCCTGAGCCCTAACTTAACCTCCATGCTCACCTAACCCAATCCGACAACTAAATCTAGCCTGCCATGTAATCACCTAATCCTTACCTTGTCCCATCTGCAACTTCCAGCCTAACCCTAACTTACTTTGGATTCACTGAAAAAAACCAGTTCAAATTAAAACAGTTATTTACTATAAACAATTCTTTCCAGCGATCATGTTTCCTATTTAGATGACGTTCTTATAATTTTTCCCAAAATAAAACATCCCCGGGGATACAATTTTATGAATAAGTTAGGTCTAATAAGGCTTTGATTTGGCTGTTTGCGTACAAGGAAATAGTGCTTAGAAAAAGTTTCATTCACAGCTCTGAAAGTGTTGGCTATACTTCAAAATCAGTAGAAAAGGTTAACGTTCCCTCTCCTTTGATTTCCCAGATGCCTCATTTGGTCACAGATTGATTTCCATAGTTGTGAAAATGGCAGTGACATTTACTCTGCGTTTTCATCCCTGGGTTCTCTAAGGGCAAGAACCAGATGCCCCACCCCCAGGGTTCTTGGGCCACTTGGTGTTACAAGCCTGTCCAGAGCAACCGTCTCTTTTTCACAGACGAAACTTAAGGATCCATAAACCTGCTGACAGCCTGAACATATTAACAGCTACTGGCCAGAGCTTCTAAAAACGTAAATGCCTCATAAACCGGTAGAAACCCTAAAACTGGACCGAAGAGGACACCACCAGGTGCTGTGCTTCCCACGTCTTCAGGGTGCCCTGCTCTATACTAATCTATATCACAGGAAGCGGCAGCACGTGACAACGCACTGGGGGTCTTGGTGACGCCCTGATGATAAGGACATGGTGAGGTCCCAAGAGCCATGGCATGCCTGCTACGGTGCTTTTGTCAGTCCTGGAACACATCATTTCAAAGAGGTGGCATTAAAAACCGTCGGTGGGAAAATGACAGTACAGGATCTGTAACAGTGGAGATTTTGCATCGACCTCTGTGTGGCCGCAGAGCCGAGCGTGTGTGAAGAAGGACGTGGTTTTGGACCAGCTGGGTTGGGGAAAGGAGCTTTTTTTACATTTTCGTTTTGTCTTCACAGCAGCATGATGACCCCTCCAAAGGTTTATCCTTCTTGACACGCCTGGCAGCACCTTTGTTTGTAGAGGTCTAAGGAACACAGATTAAGATGCTTTACAGCCGTACAGTAGTGAGTTGTGTCTGTGCAGTCTCCTGCAAAAGCAAAACAGAACAAATCCCACCGCCATTTAGCACACTGGCTCATTAGAGACCTCGTTAAAAAATATCACCTGCTTTTAGGAAAAGCATATATTCATTGAGAGTGAAGCGAGTGACACTAAGCTTGGGTTAGGACCACTGCTTTGCCCTAGTCGAAAACATATCAGCCTCACTGCTCAGCTAGGCCAGGTAGCTTCTTGTTGTTCTCCAGGGACCTCCTGACCCTTCTGGCCCATGCCACCCATCTCGATGCTCAGAGCAGTAGCACTTAGCTTTTGGAGGGTCGCGGACCCCTTGCAAAACTTACAAAAGCTGTGGCCCTGCTCCCTGGAAAAATACATATACGGCTAAACTCTACGTGTAACTTTAAGACATTTGCTGCCTGTACAATCCCATCCACGAATGCCCATCTATGGGTGACACTGCCAGCAGCCGGGGAGTCCGTGCGGAGGCTGCTTGTTAGAAGGCAGGAAGCAATGCTCCCAATGCCTGACTCAGCTGCTCTCTTTCAAGAACACTGAGTTGCACCCACATCAAGGTCGCTAGTTCCCTAAGGTCCCAAGATGCCACATCCATTCTGATTGGCCCCTCTGACACGACACTGACCAGAGAGGCCCCATGGGGTATGGTGTGAACTTAGCTTCTGGGGCAGTCGTGATACCTGGGAGGGGTACGTACTGTCACAGGAAGGCCCCACACAGTGCCGCCAGGAGGACGGTTTCTTTCTCTGCACGCAGTGTCTCTCGGCCACCGGTGTGCAGCTCCTTGTGTGGACACAGTCCACCTTCCGGGCCTGGAAGCCCCTGCCACAGGCCGCAGTGCAGGGCCTCCACGGGCCCGTGCGCCAGCACACGTCACAGGCCCCTGCCGAGCAGTTCCTCCTGAAGGTGGCTCTGCAATGACAAAAAAAAAAAAAAAAAAACGGGAAAGGGGAGGCGTGGGTGTCACGTCTTGCTGGGCTCAGGCCTTTTACCGCACGATGCTTTCAAGATATTAAAGGTTCGACGGTTTGGACCCTGTTCGTCAGGAAATGGGTTTGCGTTGTTCATGGTTGACCAGGCAAAGGAGCCGGGCAATGACTCCCAAGACGCTACTTCCCGTTTCTTAGCAAACTTTAAGGGCTGATTATATAAGCGACTGGACTATATTCTAGGATGGCTATGAATTTATTTATATGTGAGCCATCATGTGTGCTGAGAGACATGCTTACAGTTCCATTCAGTCCACAACAGGACTTGTAGTCGGACCTAACCAAGACCATTTGGGAAGAGAAGACTATCTCTGGTTCCTTATCCTTTAAAATAGAACAGAAAATGAATGCCCTCCGATTTTGGGAAAGATAATTACCCTGGAGGACAGAGCCACCTTAATGGGGGCACTCTGGGGTACACGCCCTAGTTCCCTAGGGCAGGGCTCTTGGATGACATATCTGCACTACCTGACATTGTCTCTGTACCCCAGAGACGCCTGGAAGAGCACTCCAACTTGAGCTGGTTCAATCTCTCTCCCAGGAATTTGGAAGTTGCTGGAATAAGAGACGTATACATGAAACACTGGGGTAGTGGTGGCCATATTCTCCCACCTCGGCCAGAGAGGTAGCAAAAAACTAGCATTCAGAAAGAACAAAGAATGAAGCAGAAACACACAGAGCTGCAAAAACGAAAGGAGGAAAAAAAGCCCCAACGCCTTCTCATTTCTTGGTTACGGCTCTTCCTGCGTTCTGACGGCATTCTCCCTTTGGGTCCCTGAGACAGGTGTGTATTCCTATAAATGAGTCCTTGCCAGGGCACATGTTCTAGAAGGAGTTTGAGACTACAGTGGAAAAGGGATAAGATGGAGAAAAGTATGATAGTCTGGACTTCTCTAAGGGAGGGGATCACACAGCTGGAAGCAGTACCTGGATGGACCCGTAGGGGGAGACTCCATTAAAGGGTTTACTTACAGTAACACCCATCACAGCAGACTGTTTCTAGGATTCAGGAGGGAGGTAGTGGGGAAAGGGGGTCCTGTGAAATGCAGGGCTTTTGTTTTCCCCCGCGGGCATGAATTTTAGGGGCCAAAACCTGAGTTGCTTTGGACAAGGCAGGGACTGCGTGCTCCTCAGCCGTCTTCCTATGCAGGGACCAGCGTTTCTGCTGAAAGGGGTTCAACAAATGTTCAAAGAATACTCGGAAAGTATATTTCAAAGGATACCAAATGGTTATGCACACATGTTGGGTGGCCTTGTCTTAATAAGAAATCTCCCACCCTCTTTGGATAAACCATTCTAAGATGACGTTCGTTGTTTGCAGCCCAAAGGACCTGAACCGATACAGCCACTCCTCCTGCTTTGGTGGACGGCAGGGCCAGTGGGAAGCCAGACAGAACCGCGGAGCTTCCTAAATATAAAAGATGACAGGGGCACAGGGAGCCAGAGACCAATGCAGAAACTGAAGCCCAAGAGGCTGGTCCTTGAGGACCCAGTAAAACAGTGCATGTTGGTCCAGCAGAGGCCACTTTTTCCTGGACTGGGGACACGGGTGCCTGAGTTAGGGTGACATAGCATTGGCGCTATGCATGCAATGGGGGCTCATGTGCCTTTCTATATAAAACACGGAAGTAGAAATGGCAGCAGACATCACAAAGGAACCCTTTTTCTACCCATCTTTCTCCATTTCTCATTCCTGTTCAGTCCAGCCCCACCTCAAAGAACCCCTCTATCAATTCCATCAATCAGATGGAATCGTCGATTCCACAGGGCTGCCAGGCTCCACTTCCAAAGATTCTGACTCATTCAGTCTGAGCTGAGGCCCTAAGAATCTTTAGTTTAAAGAAGCTTCCCAAGTAATTCTGATGCTTGGTGAAGGCAGGGAGCCACACCACTTTGGGGGACAAGCTCTGTGTCCTCAGGCCTTTCCTCTGGTCCCCACGTTGTCTTCTTGCCATAAATGTGAGCTAGCTCTACCCTGACCATTCTCCCCCTCTGTATCTCTTCTCAGCGGGGGCCACAGTTCCCACTCTCTTCCATGACCTTCAGAGAAGAGCCAGCAGACGCCACCAATCCTCTCTCTGCCCATGGCCACCAATAACGTCACTGCCTATAAAGCACCCTCTAACATTCAGCGAGGCCCTCCTATGGCAACTGGGGGTGTCCAGTCTGCCCACGGCTCCCTCTTGGTGCGATGACAGGGGCGCCTAATAACCCACCCACTGTCAACGAGCCCACAACCAGAAGAAGAGGCATGTGGGGAAAACGGGGCCAGGAAGCCACCACAGAATCACCTACGGCAATTCTCTCAACTACCTCAGTTCTCCATCCACAAACCACCAGATGCTTGAGGAAAACTGGCAGCGTAAAACTCAAAGCAGAACAGCCAGCCCCGGAGGAAGCGGAAAGAGTAGAGGAAATGCAGTCAACGTGACTCTTCTGTTTTTCCCCTCGGCTCTACGAAGTTTTCTTCTATCTTTCTGTTAAAAATGTCCGCCCTTTCAGCTCACTTCTGTATCGCTTTTTCTAAAACCCTGTTTCATTCAATATTGAACCTCCCGGCAGATCCCGCCATACCTTCTACCTTCTGTGTTATACTTTCTGCTTTTTTGTTTTTGCTGCCATTGGTTGGAAAGTGCAGGCACATCCAAGGAACTGAATCTTGTTGTGGGGAATAGAGAAAGCAGCTGACCCTCCATCGCCAAAACCTTACCGAAGGCTCAAAATGGTCGCCGAGCCCATTGGTCAAGGTCGTCTCGTTTTCTCCAGCAAGACTTGGGATGTGGAGGAGGACACAAGAGCGATATAACACTGAGCATTGCCTGTGACCCAGGCTGCTTAAGCTAACTAACCAAATCTCCCCAGCCGTAACTTCCCATGGACGAGGACACGCCGCTGAGCAGGTCAGGAGGGTAGGTGGCCCAAGGTCACACAATAAGACAATGGTAGGCTCCCAACTGCCCACTTCGTGTACCCTCTAGGCTCTCTCCTCACACCCCTCTGGGATGGTGGAGTCGACAGATGCGAGCAGCCTGGATCTCTGGGTGACCTCACGGAGCAAAGCACATCTATCCCTAGGCCATCAACCAGCTCAGGCTTTTATATAAGAAAAAATGCTAACTCCTGTCTTGTCTAAGCCCCTGGGCAAGATAAAAGTTCATTTTATCCTTTGCTCAACCACTGTGCCAATGTCCTAATCAAACCCATTTCTCAACAGAGGAGCAACAAAGTTAACTGAAAACATGAGATCATGGAATCGGTAAAACCTAAACGACCAACTCTGGGTATCAAGAGAAAAATGCCTGTCTATTCCCCACGCTGTTCTATTGTCTCTTTGGGGTGTCTCTCCCTGTATGTTTCACAACCAAATACTGTGCAATCATCAATGATACACATGAATTCCTACTTCGGTATAATGCATACTACTGAGGATGGCACTACAGAATGGCAGGGGAAGTTGTGCGCTGCCCTGGGGTGGGGTCAGTACCTCCTTCTGTCATCGCAGCTGGCGTCGGAGCTGTTGTGCTGGTGACAAATGACACGGGGCTGCTGTATCTTCAGGGCGCGACCCAGGCAACGTGCAGGACACTGGGACAGAAGCACAACGCAATGTAAACAACCTTGTGAGCTCCTGCGTGCTGTCTACACACCAGAAAGAGGGCTCTCACCAAAGCCACCCCGACAGCACTTTGGCCTTGGGACTTCCGGCCTCCAGAACGGGGAGAAAATAAACTTCTGCTGTTTAAGGCACCTAGTCTGTGATATTTAGTTATGGCAGCCCCAGCAGACCAATGCAGGTCCCTACAGATTGCTTTAACTTTTTTTTTTCTCCATTATTTTTATTATAATATTATTTAAGGTGGCATTTGGGATATGGGTTCTGACACTTCTGTGCACATGTCACTAGTATCCCTTGCTCCTTTTCTTGAAGCCTATTTTAATTCCTACCGCCCCAAACCAGTCTACCTCGGAGCTTTTGTCATCAAAGGACCCAACCTTGCTTTACGTTTTGTATTGAAAGCCGTGGACACTATGATTTCCAAATGTAACCCTTGAGGTCAGACACATACAGAGACCAATCAGATATTCCCCCCAACATTAAAAAAACAAAATGTATTAGAAACAAGGTGACTGATGGCAGTAGTGTCAAAGCATGAGATCTGTGAGCTTTACCTGGCCCCCTGGTTCAACGACCCACGGAGCACACGGACGGCTGGAACAAGGTCTTCTTCCCAGAGGCCTGTTTTGGGGGGCGCAGGCTGCTGGAGGCAGCACCTGTGCCACGCCGCTGGCTTTTGTGCGCTTGCATGTCACCTGCCGACTGTGGAACCCTTCGCCGCAGGACGCCGAGCACTCTGACCACGCGCCCGTGAACCACCTAGGGACAAAAACCACAGGGGCGTGGCAGGGACTGGCAGTCCAGGCATGCACCTTATCACAGAGAATACCCTCCAGACAAAAACTGACCCCAACACTGCGACTGTTTCCGGGACGTCACATGCCTCTCTGGTAAGAGGCAGCAGCCTAATGACACCCAGGCTTAATCGGTGACCTCCTTTTATTCAGGGGAGCAAGAGAGTCAGCATGTAGAGAGCAGCAGTATGGAGGTGAGGCACAGCTTCTGCGTGGACACAAGAGCCTTTAGACCTGTGTGGCCCCCAGAGGGTAGAGCGAGGGCAACATTAGGTGGAAATTTCTAACAGGTCGATTCCAAGTCATTGAAGCCAAAGAAAAGACAATATTGTTTAAAGCAGCTACGTGCTCTCTGCTGTGCGTGGAGGGTACATGTCATCTCATGAAGTTCTCATGCTCTTGCCATTCTTGTAGGGAAGAAACCGGTGTCCACGGGGCTAAAATGACTCAACTCTGGTCACGTAAGTAACAGGCTCGCAGAGCTGGGACTGGATTTGAGAGTTTTCTGACCCTAAAGCCCACACTTCAATGATTACAGGAGCCTGAACTTGGAACTGGATGCCACTGAGACACAGTGTGCTCTGGCCCTGGGTGTTTGACCTGCCACTGGGATATGCAGAGTGAGGGTCCTAACCCGAGGCCTGTGACATGCCAAGGGGACCATGCACTTGGATGGCAAAAGAATTTCATCCTCATTGTCACTCAGCTCTAACTGAAACGTAGCATTCCCTTCAGTTGTAAAAAACACAGGTCACAAAACACACGAGTTTGTTACCAAAAGAAGTCCTAGACATTTTCGCATGACGTTTTGCATACACTTGAGGCAGGCATCTCCAACTGTCATTTATACTCATCACTATTTCAAAATTAAGATGTGACTAGATCTTATTCAGTGTGCTAACAGAGAAGCAAATCTATTATGATACCACACCTTTTTTTAATATTACAGTAACTGTATTCAGTATCATTGCTTTCCTTTGCCATCAAACACATTTCATTTTCCAGATTTAAAGCTCTTGTTCTGAGAAGGGGTCCGCAGGCTTCTCCAGGTTACCAGAGAGGTCCACGGCACAGAGATGTGAAGACCCACCCCCGCCCCCCATGTAGAGGGACCAGGGTAAGTTGTCTCTTCTGGGTAGGAAAGTGCACGGCTCTGTGAGTCCCAGGAGTGTGCTAAGCCATGGGACTATTTCATAAACCAGGCTGCTGACAGGTTGCCCAACATGGATTATTTCTGCTTTGGGACAGTCAGGAATGGCCACAGAGCAGCCTTCTTGGACCACGTTCCCCCTCTTTATTGTAGCAGCCATGTGCCGCTTCTCCAGGGATAGGCGGCTCTCGGCATGAGGTCCTCCTTTGATGAACACACTAGGAACTGGCACGTGTCAGCGAGGAGCTCGGGTACCTCCTGAGAACATGCTCCAAGGTGTCTACAGTAATGCCTTGGTTTGCGAGCATAATTCGTTCTGGAGACAAATGTATTAGAAATGTGTGCTCGCCGTGCGGAACACTCGTAAACCAAGTGACTCACAATCCAAGGTTTTACTGAATTTGGTTTCGCAGCGTGGCCCTGCCTCCCAGCCTCCTCCAAGGAGGAGGTCACTGGACGTAGTGCGGCATGTGCACAAGGGCAGTGAGTGGCAGCACATTTGGTACGCCTCCATTTTCTCCTCAGTAGAATGGGGTTGATAAGGGTAGCTGCCTCGTAGGTTTGTGCTCAAGAAATGCTACTACTTTTTTTTTTTAATGTGGATTTTGGTGCCACGTATTTGGTTCATCCACTAGGGACTATGTCATCCATCTATTCATTCATTCATTCCACACATATTTTTAGAGCATGTATATCGGGGCCAGCATTGTGCTAAGTGCTGGGAACAAAGTGTGGAGTGAACCAGCCATGGTTTTACTGTCAAAGGACTGACAGCCTAAGTGGGAGAGCAAGACAGACAGACTGTGGTACGAGCTATGAAGATAAGGAAATATAAAAGAAACATACAGTCCCCGGGGGCCTGGGTTAGTCTGGAGGGCTAAGGTCAGTGAAGGTTAATAGCACAGATGTACAGAAATAACTAAGAGAAAAGAGAGGGAACAGTGTACTAGGAGAAGGAGCAACATGTGCAAAGACTCTGGGTCAGGAGAAAGAACGACCCTTGAAGGGACAAATGCCAGTGCAGATGGAGATCAGATAACCAGGCTGGGAGAGAGAAGCGATGAGACAGACGGCAGCCTGAGGCCCAAGCATGGAGGAGCCTCTGGCCTGTCACTCATTTATTCAGTCAGGCAGCAAATACTGACCGAGTACCTCCCCATGTGCTAGGCACTATTTTTACACACGGGGTAAAAAAATGAGCAATGCCCAATGCTAGGCGTTCTGGCTTTTGTCCTAAAACAGTCAAAGTCATTGAAGGGTCTTACACAGAGGAGCATCATGATGAAAATCAGAGGTCTCCTGGACTAGCCCACATGAGAAATGATGATGGCCTGGACTCCAGGGTCCCGTGGCAGTGGACGAGCATGGATGGAAGTGAGAGAAAAGAGTCGGGGTGGGGTCCAGGAGGCACGGTGGATGGGTCAGGTTTGGTGGACAGCAAGGGTTTGATTCTGGACGTTTCTAAAGTGACTGACTTGTATCATCTGTTACATAGAAAGGCTGTTAGCAGTTTTGCCTCCAGAAGTGGGGTCTGGGGCACTGTGCCGTTAGCTAGCACTGCTCGTGACTCTGGCCCCCCTGCCCGATCTCCTAGGTAAACCCATCGACTCAGCTTCACCACGCTCTTAAGGAACAGACGGCACCACCGCCAGTGCAGGAGGCAGATTGGGGAGCGATCATGAACAGGATATGTCCATGTGAATTCTGGCCCTGGGAACTGTGTAGCCTGGGGGAGTTTTCCCATCTGTCAAACAGAAAACCAGCCACATCAACCCCATCGCAGCTTGTGATCTGACCCACAGAAAGCCCCTAGCAGAATGCCCGGTACGGAGTCCATGCCAAAGAAATCGTAGTGAGTCAGTAAGTCCAAATTACGGTGCCTTTTAAAACAAGCAAAATCCTGGTCCTGGTGAGATCAGAAGAGTGCCTACACGTACCTCGAGGGGCAGTCCCGGATGTGACAGGGCTGGAACCCAGCCGGCGGCTTCTCGAGGTGACCACAGAGGGCCTCGCTCACTTCCTGCCCACTGGCCAGCACACACTGGGGTCTCTGAACTCGGGCTCCCAGGGGGCCACAGGTGGCAGAGCAGTGCGTCCAGTTACCAAGGTTCCAAAAATGCTCTGCAGAAAGGAAACGAAATGTCATGACAGCCCCAGATGAGAAGCCATGATGGGCCAGAGGACAAGGACAAAGGACCACCATGAGCTGTTTCCTGGTTAGCTGCCTGTCCAGTTCCTTGAGTAGCACATGGAGAAAGCCCTCACATAGTGCAAGGGGGTTCCCTTAAATCTCATTTACCCTCCGCAAACGTAATGTAATAACAGGTAGGAATGGCGGCCAGAATGGGGCCCTTTGGACCACAGCCTGGGAGAGGCGCTATTGCAGGCCAGCTGGACCTGCCAGAAAAATCCCAGAGAGAGGGAGGAGGTGATGTGGACGGCCTCTCGGTGTTCTTCCAGTACAGCCAAGAGAACAAGAGAGGAACGCCCCTCCAGGGGTGCGCCAACGGGCTCTATTTTTCAAAAGTGGGTCAGGCCGAAAAATGACAGATGATCTAGCAAGGACCAGGGCGGGGCTTAAGCGGGAAGGTTCAAGAGGCGTTTCCATCCCATTCGTACTCTGAACTTCAGATCACTCCCGAAGCTGCACAAATAATTTGTCACGGAGACATCTGGAAAGCTAACAACGGGAGTTTCCTTTAGAAAAGTTGATGCCGACCACCTCCAGTAGTCGTGGCTTTTTTTTTTTTCATTTTAGTCCCCATTCCAAGCAACCTTTCCCTTCCCTCTGACACTTGGTAAAAAGATGAGGTACAGCGTGATGATGACAGATTTGTGTATGATCACAGAAGGTGCCAGGCTTTCTTGTAATAATCACAAGTAATTGATAGCTACCAGCTGTGTCCACACGCTCCCTCACATCGCCGAGCGATTTCATTAACTTACACTTTTCCAGTTTTTTTTTCCTTATGATTTTTGTCTTAAGTTGCATATGGCATCATGTGCAAAGCATAACAGTATATATATTTAGGTGAGCCCCCAGGATTATGGTTTATTTAAAACAATTTTTACAGACAGCCACGTTTATTGAGAACCTTCCAGGCAAGAAAGTTTGAGTTAGGCACTTTAAACTTTAACCTCAGTTTTTCATTTAACCCTTATCTTGTGAATTCGATTCGATGATTTTTATTTGCAGAGGCGGAAACTGAAGAAACGCTACATGACCTGCCCAAGGTCCTTCGTCTGGCAGCTGCATGGGAACCCAAGTGTGTCTGACTCTCCACCTAACTCTTTCTACTATGTCACATTCTGCAAGGACAACTGACAGCTCAAGGCAGGACACACATGCATTTCTTTAAAAAAAAATGTGTTTTTTCATCGAGATATAAATATGCATGTACAATAAAATGCTCAGACATCAGGTATGCAATTTTATGAGTTTTCACAATTGTAGGAATACATGTGACCAAGATCCAAAGTGAAGTATGTAACATCTCATCACCCCAAAAAGTTTCCTCCTGCCTCTTTTTAATCAATTCCCCTCCTCACCCAGGCAACTACTTGTTAATGCCTTTCAATATACATTCACTTTACCTGTTCTTGGACATCATACCTTATATGATGACCCTTGAAAAGCACAGGGGTCTGGAGTGTCCATCCCCAACCACAGTAAAAAATCCACGTATAAGTTTTGACTCCCCCAAAACTTAACTACTAACAGCCTAGATTCCTTACCAATAATATAAACCATTGATGAACACCTAGTTTGTATGTTATATGTATTATATACTTTATTCTTACAGTAAATGAAGCAAAAGAAAATAAAATGTTATTAAGAAAATAATAAGATTTGTGGGCAAGCGTTTTCAAATTGTCACAAATCTCTAAAGCCTTGTCCAATATATGTGTTGAAAAATATCTGTGTAAGTGGGTCACCTGTACACTTCTGTGTTTGGCTTCTTTGCTTCACATTAAGTTTCGGAGACGCAGCCATATTGTTTGTGCATTTTATCCCTTTATTGCTGAAGAATATCCCATGGTATGACAGTACCACTGTTTATTGATTCTTCTGTCAAGGGCCATTATGAAACGAATGCTGCTATCAATATCCTCAGACAAGGGTTTTTGGGGAACCTGTTTTCATTTTTCTTGGGTAAGTACCTGTGAGTAGAATTGCTGGGTCAAGGGTAGGGGGTGAGCTTAACTTTATTAGAAATGCCACATGTTTCCCAAAGTGGTCCCACCATTTTGCACAGTTCTCAGCAATGCAGGCGAGTTTCAGGGGCTTCACATCTTCGCCAAAAATCGGCACTGTCTCATCTTTTTGTTCTCACTATCCTAGTAGGTGTGAAATCGCATCTCACTGTGGTTGCCATCTGTGTATCTTCTTTAGTGAACTGTCCATGATTTTTGTCCATTATCTTTTTGGGGAAGAGGAGAGTTCATTGGTAACTTATAGGAGTTCTTCATATATTCTAGATACATGAAGACCGATGGTCTGCCAATCTTTTTCCCGTTCTGTGGCTTATCTATTCGTATTCTTAATGGTGTCTTAAATGAGCAGATTTTTGAAACTTTGATGAGGTCCAATTTGATATTTATTGTGTTATGGTTAGTGATTTCTGACACAAATGCATCTGAAAGGGAGATCATATTCACTCCCACATAAGATTCCTCAACAGTGACACAATTTAGGGATAAACTCTAGTCTTCGCCTTGACCCTCAAAGGCCTGAAGGATCTGTCCTCAGCAGCTCGCCAGCCTCCCCTCATACCCTGCCCCCCCACTGGGCCGCCGTCCCGTGAACATTTCTGTGCCTCAAGCACGTGAAGCTTGGTCCCCATTTATTGTCCTTACACTTACTATTCCCTCTGCCCCAAATGCTTCTTCCTCATCTCTGTACGATGGCTCTCTCTCTCATCCTTTAGGTCCGGGTTCAGGTATCAGCTCTTCAGAAGGTCGGTCCTGATTATCTTCACTACAGTGGTTTTGCCCAATCACTGTGTATCTCATCACACTATTTTCTTCATAGCACTTACCACACAGAGCTGCCTTATATATTTATTTGTTTACTTATTGTCCATCTCTCCCACTGGAACACCACGTTCATGAGGGTGGGGATCTCTTTTGTACTGTTCACCTCTAAGACGGGGCATATTACGTATTAGGTACTCATCTGATATTTATTAAATTCCTAAGATAAGCACTCATTGAAGGGTTGGCATAATCCACAATGTGCACACACATGTGTGTGTGTGCATGCGTGTGTGTGTGTGTGTGTGTGTGTGTGTGTGTGTGTGTGTGGTGGAAGAACAATGTAGGTAGTTCTAATAAACCAAATTTTTAAATATTCCAATAGCTTCACCTTTATCAACAGTTTTAGCCTAATGAATATCCAATTTTTTTAACGGATTCAAGGGAGTTCATTTGGTCTTCGTCTTCCGGGCCACGTGGCACTTCTCTCTGCCTCTGTGCATCCTAGTTTCTCTGCCTGGAATGTTCTCCATCCTCTTCCCAGGACACCAGGACTGATATGAGAACTTGGCTGACCTCCCAGAGGGAGCCAGGGCCCCTTCGTTGGTGCTACCGTCATTCTTTGGTCATCCTATTACAGCACGTGTGTCATGCTGCTTCAAAATATCCATTGACATGACTGCCCCCCTGTTTACACGGTGAACTTTAGACTCGTTTCTGCATCCCCAGCCCCAGCAAATGTCAACACTGGACAAGGATTTGTTGAAGGTTGCTGTAGACTGAATGTTTGTGTCTCTCCAAAACTCCTGTGTCAAATCCTAATGTCCAATAGGATGGACTTAGGAAACAGGGCCTTTGGGAGGTGACTAGGTCATGAGATTTGTGCCCTAAGAGGCCTCAGGGAGCCCTCTCATCCTTCTGCCATGTGAGGACACAGTGAAAAAATGGCCTCTGTGAACCATGAAGTGGGCTCTTACCAGACAGCAGTCTGCCCGTGCCTTGCCCTTGGCTTCCCAGCAGTCTCCAGAATGTGACGAATGAATGTTTGCTGTTTCTAAGCCACCCAGCCTGTGGTCTTTTGTTACAGCAGCCTGCACAGACTACCAGAAATGTCAGATGAATGGATAATAGTGTATGTAACAAGGGTCGCACTATGTCTGAACCAGGAGAAGAAATATGTCCTATCAATACCCCTGGATAATGACGTCATAAATAACATGAGGTGGATTGCTGATTGGCGGCTCAACATCGTTTCCCCTTCCCAGCTCTGGATCCGAAACTGCAGAGTGGTGGTCTATGGGATATACTCTGCAAACAAAAGGCATTTGCTTGATATTGAAAAGGTTGAAATGATGTCGCCACTATTGTTCCTGTATAGTAGATAGTATCCAGCAGGAGGCCTAACAGTGGCGTCTCTGTGATTCATCCATTTTTGAGCTACAAGGAGCTGAGATTGTCGGTACTGGTTTCCTGTGATGCTAGCATTGCTGACTTTCTTCACGCTACCTCTCTCTCTTGGCCTCCTAAAGAGTTTTGAAAGCTTGAAGTACTTAGGATTAGGTTCTCCTGACCAAGCACTGATATACAACAACGTTAGCATGTATGAAAAAAAAAATGTAAAAAGGGAAAAATGAAAGAGTTGGTGCCAGATTTCTTAGCAAATCTTCCCTCTATTAATATTGGCAACAGTTTTGAAGCTGGAAAACCAATACTATCACAAATAATGATATGCATTTGGGATATGAGCTCTGGGGAGTCCTAAGGAGTAAAATTGTTTTTTTCTTCCAAAAATGCCTCAATATGGAAGGAACGAGTTGACCTATAGAAGATGAGGGACGAAGGAAAAGCTGGCTGGGTGGTTAGGAATAATTTTACTTACTGCAAAGTGCAAAACATGGGGGGTCTTTTAGCTAAAACCTTTTCCTTGCATGTGCCTCACAAAGAATAAATTCCAAAAAAGTCAAAATCCCAAACCTGGCAGCAGGGCTTTTCCTGTCAGGTCACTGCTGTTGGTTCCAGCGTTGGATGCCTGGCGCATATGCTTTTTATGGTCCTTGGGAAATACAGTTTTAGTATCCGACCATCTTTGTTCTGAGAGGAAACAAAAAAAAAACAAAACAAAACACTTATTTATCAATGAGAACTTAGGTCATTCTTGCTCCGATTTGGTGTACTTAAAGAAGACAAGGACTAGAAATGTCAGCCCTTTCCAATCGAGTGCACTGTCCCTGGGTGCTTGGGCTCACACCTGGGAGCTACAGGTGTGTGGGAAGCTATAGGGTTTAGCAAGAGTTACTAACTGTGCTAACCTGTGGCATCTTGCACGTTCCAGGGTGTATAGCCCAACTAGCAAGATGGAAAAACATGTATTCCCCAGAATTCCAAAGGGGACCGGAGGAAGCAGCTGGGTCCAACAGAGTTCCTCCCCACAAGACAGGCCTTGGGAGCAAGGAATGGGTGATATTTTATAGGGGCCCTCACGTGGTGAGGGACACGGGCTTTCAAGAAGGTGGTGAAGTTTGAGCGTAACAGCAGGAGGGTGGGGGAGAAAGGCTGTGTGCTGTGTGATGTAAGACTGGATTCCTCAGTCAAGTCACCAAAGTCCAGAGCTGCACGGCTGGAGGGATTTCAGAGAGAAGAAGTGCACAGGGCAGGCCTGAGCTGGCCACACAGACTCAGGAGTGCAGAGGGGAGAAGCAAGGAATAAGGCAGGGACTTCTCAGGTTAGGTTAAAATAAATCAGTAGTGACCAGATGGAGAGGCAGAACATGAAAAGCCTTGATTCTGCGGGGAAAAGTTTACAGCCCCATGCAGGATTTTAGGCAGAAAGTCACAGCCTTCTGAGAGGAGAACTGGTAGCACAGGGTCTGAGAGTCAGCGCTCGTTGGTAAGTGGACAGACAGTGGCTGCAAAGGTAGAAACCATTTCACATCCATCTTGTTTACTCCTCAACTCCAGAACCAACCAAATGGGTACTTCCTTCAGCACCTTACGGGAAGCCCTTGGAGGCACAGCCAGAACGGGGCACTTACCCAGCACGTGCAGCGTGGTGGCTGCCGTTGCCTTTCCAAGGGCATTGGTGGCTGTGCAGACATAGGTTCCTTTGTTTGCAAGGGAAACGCTCTGCAACAACAGGGATCCATTGAAAAGCAAGGAAATATTGTCACTCAGAGGTCCTCCTCTCTTCACCCAAGTGACAGTAGGCTGAGGGACACCTTTGGAATGAAAACAAATAGGACAAAGGCAGATTCCTTTAAGAACAGGGCCACAGAACCATATGAAAAATACCATTCGGCATGTTGACCACAGTCAGCAAATGGGTTCATCACATAGAGTAGGAAAAATGGATATTTCTACTTGGATAGCTTTTCTATGGCGGTGCTCAGTTGTCATAAAGAAGATTGGGGGGGAAAATCTAATATGGGGGTCTTTCAGCTGTTGGTTGTGCATATGCAAAAAAAGTTCCTCCTGCAGGATGAATATAAAACCTTCAGGGAAATCGTTTTTGTTCACTCATGCTTTTGTAAAAGAGGATAATTTCAGGGAATAAGAGGAAGTGTTGAGCTTCAAGTCTGAGTAGGTGTTGTGAGGTGCACAGCCTGAAGGCAACATCTCTGCACACAGAGGGGAACATGAGGAATTGAAATTTCTTCCCCCAAATGTTGAGACATCTTCGCATGTAGCTGGGCTGTGGAATGTGAAACTCTGGGAAACCTCATCTGGTCCTGAAGAGCTGGGGCATCTCAGATGATGCCCGAGGTTGAGCTAGGTAACTGGTTTTGAGGATGTCCTCTCCTCCTGCATAGCTCTGGCTAGAGAGAATGTGGCAGACAGGGCAAGGCTTTCAGACAAAAAGAGAGACGTCGCCACTATAAGCATGCCATTTGTAACGCACCTCACAGCAGGCAAAACGCACGCTCCATGAACCCAGTGACAACCTGATTCTCCCAGGGCTTCCCAGGCCCTGAGGAGCAGTCATCCTTAGCTCCTTCTTACCACCAAGGAAGCCAGTCAAGTCAAACCCAGCCTGGAACTTACAAACCCAGAGAAGTGCTAATCACACATACAGATATTCTTTTAGTTGTTTCTTCTACAAATATACACACACAGAGAGATCCTACACCAGCTAATCAACGTTGGAGCCGAGATTCACACACACCTACTCAGCTTATTCCAGAACTAATGTATCTCAATCGCATGTAAGCGGTGGGTCTTGCATACTTCTTCATACATTTATTCCTGGGCATTTTACCGTTTTTACTGCCATAGTAAGCGGGTTCCTTAAAAATACATTTTATAGTTGTTTATTGTTGACAAGTAGAAAAACTATGAATGCTTACATATTTATCTTGTATCCAGTCATCTTACTGAACTTTGTATTGTCAGTTAATTTTGGTTTTTAACGTAAATAATCGTAACTGCACATAAGAGCAATTTTCTCTCTTCTTTTCCAGTATTTAAACCTATGATTTCTATTAACTATTGCACTGTATAAGCTAATGTCTCTAGAACAATGCTGAATAATAACAGTTATGGCAGGCGTATCTGTCTTGTTTCCAACTGTAAAGGGAATAGTACTCATGTTAACACCCTTAAGAATGATATTTGTTTTGGTTTCTGCTAGTTATCAAATCAAAGAAATTTCCTTCTTTTTCTAGCTTCTATGGAAATTTCTAAGCCTTCCAGGTAACATGTAGTTTAATTTGCTTATTTTAAAATTGGAATATTGGAAGATATTAATTTTCTTTTGAGTGCAGCTTTGACTGCATACGTTATATTGTGAAATGCCGTACAGCTATTGCCATTGCGCCATTCATTCGAAATAAGTTTACGAAGTGCCTACTACATGGGAGACTCCATGCTGGTGCTAAGGATAGGATGGCAAACCAAGTTCCGGAAGCAACTCCATTTTAGAAGGTGGTTTTGGAGAGGAGAAACAGGTGAGTGCGATGAAAAGAGATACGGGCTTATGATAAAGGTGGACACTGGCATATGGAACCTGTACTTAGTGCAGCCTGGACAGACAGGGCAGAGTCCCACAGGAAGGAACATCTAAGCTAACCCTTCAGGACAAGCAGGAACACATCAAGCGACGGGTGGGGGTTGGGGAGATGGTTTTCAGTGGAGGAAACAGCATGCATAAAGGCCTACACACAAAGGAAAATGCAGTGCCTTTGGAAAACCACAAATTATGCATGATGACTCAAACTTAAAAGTACACAGAGGAGTGGTGAGATGCAACTACCAAGGTAAGTAGGTGGCCCTTACAATGAAAAATGATTCTGCATAGGAAGGAGTCTGGTTGAATTTACTCTAAGGGAAACAGAAAACAATGTAATGCTATTAAGTGGTGGTGAAAATATCAGATTGGTGCTTTAGAACAACAGCCTGGGCGCAGTGTAAACTGGGGGAGACGGAGGGCAAAGCTCCGGGGGACCAGTCAGGTGGTTACCGAGGCAACTGAGATGAGAGACAAAGGCAGGAGCAGTGGGTCTAGAGAGAAACAGGTCAACTTAGTAAATACTAAAAAGGAAAAAGTGGTAGGACTTAGTGGTTGGTTATATACGGGCTGTGAAGGAACTCTGAAATGCAGAGCTGGGCTGGTGAGGATGGGGGCGTGGACGCTGCCCTCAGGGAGCCTGAAGTTCATCTCAGCAGAACTTACTGCTAGGCAGGCATTTAAAAAAAAACACACAACAAAACAAAACTGCCCCGCATGATTTTTTGAGTCTACTTTGATCACTAGTTATTCTGATGCTCTATTACTTCCTAGCTGCCTTAAGTCTTTCATGTCTCTGCTTACAGCACTTGGTGGCAGGGACAGCATCAGTTCGGTGCCACTCAGACTGTCCCCTACCAACAATCGCCTGCACCTTTAAGTGATCAAGGCTTCATCCATCCAGTGAATGTACTGTAAGAGCCTACTATGCGCCAGCACCTGCTAGGATCTGGGTTGTAGCTTCTCCCACCTTGAGGCTTTCAGGAGCTTAAGGAGGTTAAGTGTCCTCTCAGGCGTGTGCCACTTCCACCAGCGATGAACAAGACACGCTCGAAGGGCCTCTGACTGAGCACAAGGCCTCATGCAAAAATCAGCCAGCAGCTTCTTCAGGGCTGAGATGCACAGGCACGCCAGGAGCCCAGAACAGAGCTTTACACACAGCAGGCTTGTGGGAGGAAATCTAGGAAAACAAACTACAGGTCAGAGCAATTGCTCTCCTCTACGAAACTCCAGCTGTCTTCTAAAGAGGGCGCACGATCTTCCTTCAGAACATCCTGGAAGGTTTAGACGCATGCATTTATTTTCAGGCAAGAGCTGCATAACAAGGACAGAAGAATTTGGGGTTCCTGTGGCCATCCATAGAAGAGGAACCATGAGGGCAAGGAGGGCATGGGTGGAAGAGCTAGGTAACAGATGCCTTTATTAAGAACCCTGAACCTGTGGCCCTGCTTAAAAAATCTGCCAAATGCTATGAGTAGAAAGTAGTCAAGGAACTGAGTTTTTGCAGCTTGGTTGATGGAGGGCAAAAGAGTGACCATACCAGCTTAGTGCAAGAGGGAGACAGAGTGAGCCCCTGAGAACTGGCCCAAGTCGGTTCTAGAAAGTTCTGCAAAATTTCCAAGCCCTGGAACTGACAGGGGTCTGAGACCATCACCCTTAAACCTAAACCCGAGAATGGCAAGGCTACTGAATTTATGCCGACAGTGATAGTCTACCCGTATAAAGGGAACGTCAGAAAAACAACACAAAACTCGGCAAGGTTTTAGATGTAAAAGGAGAGGCAGGGGTCTCCAGCTCTGAGGGAAGAAGCTGAGCCTGCGACTCAGCACCAGGCACATTGCTCCACATGTGGACATTTTCAAAGCACCGAAGGGGCCAGAGGCAAGACAGAGGCGATCCTTCAGACAGACCACTGCTCCTCATGGTCTTTCAAAACTACAAATGTTTGCTCTGTTGAAACAGCTATAAAATGTCAGAAATAGTTTAAACTTATTTATCTAACCTCAAAGACAGGCTCTTTCCCCCCAAGACGTACAGCTCTGAAATATTCCACGTTCTGTTTCCACAATGCTGAAATTGTTTTTGGAAGGCAAATGTTGTGGAAAAAAGTTCAGGTCTGGAGGGGCTGTGAAACATGTGTTGCAAACAAGTCTGCACCTCTGGGGTGTCTTTAAAATAGTCACCATTTAAAAACAAATTTCCTTCATCCTTGAAAGGCCCATGAAATATTCCACACTGTAAAATCCTTGGCGTGTTCGGGCGGCTCTAAAATGCTAGATTTTTATATCAGCGTGTCACATCTATTATACCTGTATGGGTCTATTCATTGGTTTGTTTCCTGCAACCACACAGCACTCATACAAATAGTCTGTACATTTTTTTTTCACATAGGACAATGGGAAGTGCAAGCGACCCTGTTACCTCCAGGGCATATGAAGCAATGACACTGCCCATTGATAAGATCTAAGGCAAACTGAACACAGAGTAGGCACACCACAAAGGGAGTCATTACTAATAAATGAAGCAAATGAATAAGAATTCAGGTTCAGTGTCAGAGAAAATATCTCAAAGCTACTGGTACAAACAATGTACAGTTCTCAACTGCAGGGCCCATCTGCACAACGGGCTAAATTTTGTAAGGACTTGGATTCTTGGCACTATGTAATCAACACTTTTTAGATATGAAGGGCTACCCATCAATGAGGCCATCTCCAGAACTCCCTCCAAATATACGTCCACGGTTTTTTACCAGTCACACAATTCTCTTGAATAGCTGTTGACGTTCTTTCTCTTTTCTGGTAAAATGATGTTAACAGATTGGCCTAATTGGGTCCCCAAGCAATGTGACCCGAGGACTTAGAAAGAATCTGGGTCATAGCGTCCATACCCAATTCCATAGCCAAGAGTTATTCCCCAAAGGCTTTTAAAATGTGTTTCTGAGCAACAGCGGTTCGATTCCCAGCCCGAGCTGAGTTGCCAATGAGCTGCCAACAGGTGGCAGGATGGCTCAGCTAAAAAAAAAAAAAAAAGACTAAAATGTGTTTCCTCTGACACGAAGGAAGTCCTTCCTCTTGTTGACACAAGGCCTCTTCCTGGTGTGGTCACCCTTGACCTCTCAGGGACCCTGGACTTCTGCTGGGCTTGGGACTGGGCGGTTCTTTTTAACTCCAGCAGTCATATCTCACGAGCACTGCACAGTTCACTGCTGGGTTGTCC